TTGTGAACGCACGTGTAGTTGAGTTGCTTTTGTTGCATGTTCTTGTTCGATCTGCTCTTGTCGCTTGATTTGGTCTTGTTCAGCTTTGTCTTGCTCATTCTTTTCTTGATTCATTCAGAACTGCTCATGTGAGCCATCTGTTTTCCATTGGATGACTCTATGTGTCTAAGCCAGTTGAACTGGCGATTTTCCATCAGCAAATTAAAAGTTCATGAAAATATAAGTAAGTGGTTAATATCTAAACAACACCAACATACAAGACGGATGATTGAACAAATGACATCTTTCATATACTGCCATGAATTGTGTCAGATTCAGAATCTAGAGTTGGGAAACATGTTTTTCTTTGACCAAGCGGTGTTGCAAGCGTGCACGCAAGCCTCCGCGCAAGTGTGAAAGCGCGGGCATCCGCTATGCAGCAGCCCTTCGAGCTGAAACTGCATCGCACCAGGGATCTCCAGAATGTAGGCGCATGGCTATGCAGACAGCAGTACCAGACAGTTTCAATACGCCCTGGCAACGACCATGCCGGCAGGAGCCAACGCCGCTCTTGAAAGCAGGCACCCTGCCGTGCATGGCTTGGGGGAACCAAGAGCTGGCCTTTGCATGCTTTCTCCATCTGAGGTGTAGACAAGCAGGCAGGAGCTGGCATGCCAAGCACTCGGGTCAAGTTAATACAGCTTGGCAGAGCCGCATGCGATCAGTGATAGCAGCTGAGAGCCTCATCTAGACACCCGCACTTGGCTGGACCCAGGTCAGCGGAACAGCTTGCCAACAAGCAGCTCGCCAGATGCGTGTTGCTCCTTTGCTGAGATGAAGGGACGTTTCCGAGTTGGTCTGGCCCGAAGCACAAGTAGCCCATTGCAAAAAATGCTTCGTGCGGCTGAGGCGATGCGTTTTCAAGAAGATATGCGATGCACAGGCGCGGGCAGTTACAAAAAGTTCTTGTGTGAGCAGTTCAAATAGCATGAGTCAATGAGGCTCAGCCTTCTAAGTGCGAGTTGGGCCACACGTAGCCGACGCAGCCAGCCCAGGCATCAGTGGTGCATCTGCCAGGAAAGCAGGACGCCAGGGCACTTCCGCAGCATTGCACGGCATAGGTCACGCAACACGCATGAATGGCATTTTGCGGGGGTTGCCTGCAGCTGTTTGTACGTGTCTGTGGATGCATTTGTTGGTTTTTTACGGTCAGCAAGGGCATTTCTATGTTCTAGCTGCTTATGGCAGGAGCCAACGCTGCTCTTGAAAGCAGGCACCCTGCCGTGCATGGCTTGGGGGAACCAAGAGCTGGCCTTTGCATGCTTTCTCCATCTGAGGTGTAGACAAGCAGGCAGGAGCTGGCATGCCAAGCACTCGGGTCAAGTTAATACAGCTTGGCAGAGCCGCATGCGATCAGTGATAGCAGCTGAGAGTCTCATCTAGACGCCCGCACTTGGCTGGACCCAGGTCAGCGGAACAGCTTGCCAACAAGCAGCTCGCCAGATGCGTGTTGCTCCTTTGCTGAGATGAAGGGACGTTTCCGAGTTGGTCTGACCCGAAGCACGAATAGCGCCTGCCCGTTAATCACAGGGGGCACGCGCTAGCAAAAGATGCTTCATGCAGCTGAGGCGATGCGTTCTCACGAAGATATGCAACACGGATGCTGTGGCACCAGCAGTGCAGCTGCCCGGTTCCTTTTGATAGCTCTTGCTTCTTCGATACCTTGCTAATGTTGCTTCTGCTTTGGCTTAACATCAGCCGCCATTTCATTTTAAAGGTCTGCAGCACAGCTGGAGAACAGGAGGGTCGCCAAGCACGTGCTGTGCCAGCCTCAAGATGAGACTTTGACTTGGGACCTGGGGCTCTCCCCGAGTTCAGCTGTTGTGCCGACGGCCCACGAAGTGTTTGGAACCCTCAACAGATCTCAGCCGGGGCTGTTGGGCTCGAAGAAGACATGTTCTTCTGCAAAGAACCTACGGCTGCCAGGCGGAGAATCCTCCAGAGGCTCAGCCAGAAGGCCCCCTTCAAAGTCAGCCCGGGAGTCGGTTCGCTCCATTTCTGCTGTTTTGCAGCTGTTTGGCAGGCGCGTTCGGAGCTGCAGAAGCCTTACTTGCCGCTTTCACCACCCAGCACCTATGGGCCTATGGGGTTGGCTCGGAAATGGTTTCGAATCGTTTGATGGCCTTGCGCCTCGTACGGAAAGTGGCCTAGAAGGGCTTCACCTCTCATCCCAAATTAAGCTCGATCTCGGACAGAGGTCGGACGAGGACAAGACGAATCGCCTGATTGCCAGACATGTGCTGCCGGGGCCATAAATCCACATCATCATAAACTTTGCCGCGCCTGCAGCTGCCTCATCTTCTGATCAGACTCCATGGAGCTATCAGGCGGGCTGTAATGCAGAAGCTTTGCCACCTTCAGGCCGGACATGCGCGGCAGTTGCCTCCCAGAATATGGCCATTGATTCTGAAAATAGATTGGCTTCAGGAGCCTTCATCGGTGCTGGCAGCAAATCCTGCGATCTGCCCCGCCCTTTGTGCAAGGGTTGTTCAAGACCTCCGCGTTGCCAGAGACAAGAGGTGAAGGCCCTTTCTAGACTGTTGGGCAACCGGCACGACCGTCGTCTTCAAGCGTGCAACATACAGTATTCTACGTCGGCGGCGTGGGCTACTGTAGGGTTCGAGATGAACACTTTTTTTATTAAATGTCTGCTGGCAGCTCGTCTGTTCCAATTTCAGGGCCCTGGTGTCAGACACAGGGTGGTTCTCCTGTTCTCAGACGTCCAGCCGCAATCTCTGACACTGTTCCACTGCTGCGTAGGCAAGGGGAAGGGTCTTATGCGTCGCAGAATCGTGAAACTTCAGTGAGCATGGGATGCCACTTTCCTTTGAGCCCTCAGCCTCCACAGAACAGCTGGAGTTCTGCCCTCCTCCGAGGTGTTGACAAGCGGCAAGCGAAACGGGCCGTCAAGCCCAGGCTCCCAGGATCGGCTGCAGCTCTCTTTGAATGCGAAAAGACGTTTTGTCAAGAGCTCCCCTCATGAAGGGAAATCGGGGTAATAGCGTGATGCCATGCCCCGGGAATGGACTTGTGCAAAAGCTCGTCATGCTGCTGTCGACTCAGGCGCAACAGTGCTTTACTACGGCACTTGCCACAGGAGCTCGCTTTCGCACGGGTGCTTTGCAGCGTCCATGCTTTCTGCAATGGGTCAGGGAAAAGCGTGTGAAGCAGCCAGCAAGCATCTGCAGGCATCTTAGCTTCTAGACTGAGAGGAGATGCGACTGGACAAGGGTGTCGTCCTGGCAGCTGAGCCTCCGACATGTTATTGGCCGTGGCGTTGGGGGTGAGAAATCCTAGCCCAGCTGCTTCAACAGCGGTGGGCATCAGCTGGCCTCGTGGGCTACTTCTCTCCCAATGATTAAGCCGCCATTCTCCCCAGAAGGTGGCACATTCCCTGCGCAACAGGTTCAAACAGACCCGATGGCCTTGGAACATGCGGGCGACACACTGAAGCAGGACCCTGAAAGATTTGCACCGTTGCCGCACGTGGCATTGACCCACAGCCCAGCAGCATAACTGCTGATGATCAGTAGCGAAAACAAAGGTCAGACCGGGAGGTGGTTTTCGCCGCAATTTCCAAGGAGACGTGTCCGTGCAGCAAAGGAGGCAACTTGCTGTGTTGTTGATGTCAGCGGCAGCGAGGATGGCATGGCTCTACGACACAGCAGCGAGGCGCTCAAGGCCACCCCGCAAGCACTATGTCTATATATACATATATATACATATATATATATATACATATATATATATATACATATATATATATATATATATATCTCAATGTGTGGAGTTTCTTGGGCGCCTTCCTGCGCAGATGTGTCAGGCGGATCGTGACATCGTATTGGCAGCGGCGCTGCGAAGTCGGAGTCTTCGTACACCGTGTAGTCTTTGCAGAGGAGTAGTGCAAACCCTAGCGCGCGCCTTGGAAAGCTGCGGGGTAGAGAGTGCCGTGTTTTTCAGGCCCCGAGGCCATCCAATTTGCCTCTTCGACGGTGAAGGCTGGGCCTTGCAGAATGTTTAGAAGTCCCCTGAGTCCCCTGGCTCGATTTCCTGCCCCCTTATAAGTTGTCGCAACCACGCCAAGCTGAGACACAGCATGTGATGTAATGGAATGAGTTCCTGGCAATTGTTTGTGGACTGCGGCGCCGTCTTTGGCAATTGCCAGGAAGATGCTGCCATGATCGTGTTCTGATCTGATCGGCAGCTATGCCCTTGAAGCTAATGCACCAGCAGCTCCATCAACCTCATCGGTGGGCGAACGAAACACCTCAATGCCTGCATGCTGCATGACCCAGTCAAGCCCTGATGCCACCCTTATTGATGGGGCAGCGAACGATGGATGCTGCATCGAAGATGCAGCAAGTGGTTCGGACTCGGACCGTTCCCCTATCTCTTCACCCCGCCAAGTTGCCAGCCACAGAGGATTGGGTGTTCATGGAATGTGATGCTACTCCTCGCCTGGGGGTTCTCTAGTGAAACGTCAAGTTGTGAATACCGAGAGGCCAGAGCCACGATCCGGGCATGCGCCCTCTTCAAGTCAAAGACTTGATCTCGAAGACCGTGCGCGCATATGAATTTCCTTGGATGGCTTTAGCAGATCGAGGCTTTGCACCAGTTGTGGCGGAGTTGCGTGGCGAAGAGCGGTGCGCAGCTTATCACTTCGCCTGTCGAATTGGCTTGGCTTTAGCATGCATCCGCAGCCCAGTTCTTGCAACCCATGTCAATCGATTCGTCCGAAGCCCCGTGAAGACCTGGCACACAGATCCGAGTTCAGCCCAGACTGACTTTCAAAACTGCAGGTAAGAGCACCACCAATGTCATCACTGTAGCAGTAGATTTTGGCTGACGGCCCTGAGATTGACACCCCATCTTCATGAAACCTGCAGCAGCCCATATGCGCATTCGCTTGCTGCCCAAGACATGGGCCCGTGCTACGCCGTGCAGCAGCGCCCCACCCGAGTATGACCGAGGAGGCGCTGCAACGAGCGCATCACAGCGTCCAGAGTCCAGGGCTGCACCGAAGCCCAAATTTTTTTTTCCCGAAAGCTGTCCGTGCAGGCAGCCAGGCAGCTTCTGACGAGCGCCGGGTCAAGCTTGGATGGGCTAAGTCCCGAGTGCCTGCGGGCGGCCACGGACGCGCTGCAAATTTTTCGCGGCTTAGGCAGCTTCCGAGACTTCTACGTCTGTTCCTACGGTCATTGAGATTTCACCTTCATGAAACCTTGCACAGCCAGAAGGCTTGAAAGCTCATGGTGTCAGGGACCGCTGGGCTTCAGGGCGTTCACGATGCCTTGCGGACCATCGTGGCCTTCCACCGCCTGAAGGCTGTGGCGGAGCAGCGCAAACCTGAGGAGGCAGGCTAGAGCCAGAACTTGCCCACCACAGCGTGCTCTCACACTCCTATCCCCTAGCATCCCTTTCCACGAGAGTCCGCACCCCAGAAGGCGCTCCTCATTGCTTCGGAAGAGATGGTGCCTCCTTCGCAATGCTGGGATTGGGCTGTTGCATTGTGCAGCAGATGGGTGCGACGATAGCTAACATCGACGTGACAGCTATCTAATTTGCGCCTGGGTTCCAGCTGGGGAGGGATGCAGCGAGACAAGCGGTATCTTGGGAGACTCATACAAACGTGCAAAGTGACGAAACGCGTCTTCCTCTGCAGGCTCATTTCAGAGCAGATGGTGATGGGCGGGGTGAAGGTTGTATGCTCCTGGCTCTGGCTGCCACCTGGCCACAATGAGGTCTCTCTCGCCTTTCGGGTTGTAAGAGGGCGTAAGGTTGTAAAGGCAATGGGGCGCCTTCAGGCGAAGAGACCGTCATGTCAACAGTCTTTGCGGCTGTGCTAGCACCAGCACAGTGGAGAACAAAATCATGCGAGGCGCCGAGAATCGAAGTAGCCAAATGCGGGTCATTTCCTGCAAAAGGGGACCAGAACCTCTCATAGCCTCTCCATAGTCGTAAATGCCTGTGTTCTAGGGCCGCACTCCAAACGGCATAGCCCTGACATACAGGAGATCAACATGGACCGCCGGGGCGCACGGAAGCGCGGTGAGGCGTTGGAAGCCGCCTTGAGCGCCTTGGCCCTCTTCCAGGACTGAGCCCTGTGGAGCCACTGCTGGCGGTGGGAAGAAATGTCGGCATGTGATTGAATTTCAGTTTAAGTATTGCTGAATGTGATTGAGGTTGTTTGACTAAGATTGCCTATGACTGAATAGAGCAGCCTTCTTTTGCAGCTCACACAGGGGGGGCTCGGATTTTGGGGGTGCTTTGGCTGCTTTGGCAGGAGGCTCAAGACCAGCGGCTCCAAGCCCTGACATACCTCATTCTGACAAACCTCTACTTCAAGATGCAGATGCCCGATGAGGCTGAGCATGCCCCCTGGGCTTCAGAAGAGAATGTAAGAAGTTGCGACTGGGTCTTAAGAGAGGAGGGTTCAAGAAGGGGGGGGGGGGGGGGGGGGCGGGGGCGAGTTGTGTGGCCAAGGCTGCAGAATCTGGGCTGTGCGTCTTCCAGGCCTTGGGAGATGAGATGAACCAGGCTGGGACCTCCAGGAACCACAACCTTAAACCCTAAACCCTGAACCCTGAACCCTAAACCCCTAAACCCTAAACCCTTGGGTGGGGCTTGGTGCACATGCGGCCAGCAGAGCTCCAGTCGCAGCTGCAGGCAAAGGCCCTCCACGGCCTCGCCTTGACAATGGCGGCCCGGCATCGCTACGATGGTGCCGCTGCCCACGCAACCCGGGCCTGAATGTGGTTTACGGTTTAGGGTTTAGGGTTTAGGGTTTAGGGTGTGCGGTTTAGGGGTTCCTTAACACCTCCTTCTACCCCCCCCCCCCCCCCCCCCGCCCTGCCATTGTGGTCACTGCTTTTTTTTTTTGGCCTCGGTTGGGGGGGCTGTGCTGCAAGTTCGAGTGTTTGCTTGGGCGATGCTTGTCATTCTGCCAGGCTGGCAGAAGCTGGTTCACACGACTGACGGATTTGCCTGTGCATCTCAGAATCCCTCCTGCTGCCTCCCAAGCTTCAGGCCGCGGAAGCAAGCGCTCTGTTTCAGAAGCTAGGGGACACCAAGCTGGAGGCAGGGTTGCTGGAGATCTAGTTCCATAGTAGGAGTCTTCGACAGTCTCCGACCCTTCAGAAGCATTTGAAGCCAGGCGGCAGAGCTCGTGTCCTTGGCGCAATGGCAGCTGGCTGCGGGAAAGCCGTTGCAAGCAGCAGCTTCCGCAGAGCAGGCTTGCAGTCTTGTGTGTGGCTCCATTTTTGCAGAGTGCATTCGATTTTGAGCCAAAGATCTGTTGGCATTGTCGCAGCTTCTTTGCACAACTGCTTGTTGGAAGGCTCTGAAGCTTTTCCGGGGCATCGGTTACGGAAAAGGCTGGTGGGCCACCCCAGACCACAGCACTCTCGTCACATTCTCATTGCCTCCATGAGGCTCCTCATTGCATCGAGGAGGTGCGCAAGTGCATGCCACAGGCTCTGCATCCTCGTGTCCGCAGGTTGGCCAGCAAAAGCGCTCTCGGTGTTGTGCGAGGCTGGGTGCAACCGTATGGTAAGCTTCGCATCCTTGATATGGGCTCCCTGGTGGAAGGCCCTGTCGCAGTCTGGGAGACCAGCTGCAGCGGCGAAGCTCGCGAAGAAGCAGGGTGTCCTTTTCCTTGAGGCTGGAACCCATCAAGCTCACTCAACATTGCAGAGGAAGAGGTAGATCACAGGGGTCCCCTAAATCAAGGGTTTGCGCTCTTTCGTGCGTTTGCGTGCGCCGGATATACGTGAATGTGCAATGTCCCGCTGGGTTTCTGTTGAAGGACCAAGACTTCGAGGGACAGCTGGCTTCGCAGGCCCCGAACTTGCCCGCGCTTCGGATCGGCCGTGTTTTCGGAAGTGGCAAGGCAACACCAGTGAACCTGGGTCTTAGCTGTTCCACCACCGAACCCAAGGCCCTAAGAAAGAGCTCTGGCCCATATTCTGGACAGGAGATCGCCGCCCAGGCACACCTCACCTCTCGGCACCCAGAGCGTGCCCTCGACGAGCTTAAGGCCGGTCATTCTCTGGGCATGTTAAAATGCTTGCTGCTTTTTTGAGGTGGCGGCATCATGAGAGTCATAAAGTGATGTTCCGTGGTGCACGATACATGAGGATGCCCATAAGCTCATCGGAGAGAGCGGCCCATCAAAGGCCTCGGGCATGCTTTGTGGGGGGGGGGGGGTGGGGGTGTGCTCTCTCTATGGCTCTCTTCTGTTTGCTGTGATCCACTTGCGTGTTGCAGGCGAGGATTCATCGCGCTGAGGCGGCCTCCTTCTTGGCAGGCGGCCACCGTGGGATCAAGATTGGAGACTCGCACCCAGAAAAAGTCACTTGTTACTTGTTTACCTGAGGTGGCGACATTGCGGAGGCCGTGCAAACCCTGAGCCGTGCCGTAGACATCGCGAAAGAGGCGAAGGACCATCTGCAAGAGGCCCGGGCCCACCGGGAGCTGTTCCAGATTTACCTCGGCTGCGGGCAGTTCTCAGCAGCAGCAAAGGCCGCCGCTTCCGAGCGTGTGGCCGCCAAAGACTCGAGGGGCGAAGCTGCCAGCTGCGTCCGCCTGGCCGTGGCGCTGGCGAACGGTGGCGACTTGGTGAAGTCACTGGCGGCGGCGGAGGAAGCCAGCGACCTGTCCCAGGCTGCTGGGGACCGGCGGGGGAAGGCCAGGGCTCTCCGTGTCATCTCCGACATCCACAGGCTGGACGGGAGCTTAGATGCTGCTTTGGAGGCGAGCGAACAGCGCTTGAAGATTGCCAGAGACCTTGGAGACCTACGCTTGGAGGCAGCGGCCATGAAGGAGTTGGCTGACCTGCACCTTGCGGAGGGCAACTTCGGGGAGGCGAAGCATTTGGCAACAGAGAGCCGGGACCTCTGCAAGCAAAGCGGAGATCGCCACGGCTTGGTTCTGGCTCTCCTAGCTCTGACAGAAGTTGCCTTGGGCGCGGCGGACACGTCCAACCTGAAGGAGTCGTTGTTGCGGCCCTCGGCGGAGGCGGTTGCGGTCGCTGGAAAAGTCGGGGATGGGATGCTCCGAGCCCGGGCCCTGTACTGGAGAGCTCATGCCCTGGGAGCAGTCGGCCGGCATCCCAACGCCCGTCGCCATGCAAAGGATGCGGCCGAGTTGCTTTCCAAAGTGGGCGATTCTGAGGGCCAGGTGCGCTGCTTGTTCCTGGTTGCCGAGCTGTACTCGGCCCAAGGCCTAAGGGCAGATGCCCTTGCGCAACTTCAGGAAGTGCGCCGGCTAGCGAAGTCCTGTGGTGATGCCGAGGCGGAGTGCGAAGCGGCGGTGCTCGAAGAGGAGGTCTCCCGCAAGCCTGAAGCTCAAATGCCTCAAGCAGAGCCCGAAGTCGTGCCGCAGGCGGATACTGCCACCCCAGCGGAGAAGCCCCAGGCTGAAGCGCCTCTTTCCTCGGAGCCGCGGAAATCCCTGGATCCGGAGATTGTCTTGCAGCAGCTCCTTCGGCTTGTCAAGGAGGTCACCTCAACGACGGACGACATTGAGTTGGACACGCAATTTGTAGACGCAGGCATGGACAGCCTGTCGGGCGTGACCCTGGTAACAATGATGAGCCGCGAGTTCGACATGGCCTTCACGCCCTCCACCGTCTTCGACTACCCCTCGGTTCGCACACTGCGGGATCATCTGCTGCTTGAGCAGGGCGACGGGTAAGGAAAGGAAAACGTACGTGGGTGTGGTCACGGGTGGTTTGGGGAGGCCGAGATCCGAGAGCTGTCCTGTAGAAAGCTCAATAGCCCCCTTTTGGTCACATGATCTGCGCAGGGATGCAGCGCGGAGAAGCTTGAATATCACACACGACACTAGCTCGCTAGCCCAAGGCAAGCCACGCAAGCCCTCTCGCCAAGTGATTGACACGTGCGTTGCGTTCAGGTCTAGAGAGTTTTGGGTTCAGGTTATGAATATTCGTAGCACCTCAGCCAGCTAAACGCAAATACCAAGTCGCATCCATTCTGCACGAAGCCATTCTGAGCATGTGCGAGCCCTGTGGCTTTTCGGCAGCTGTCTGGTCAGAAAACAACGCAGCATACCTCGAATCTTCACCGTCGGCTCGGCGACGAACTCCATGTCAGGGGATGGGTCAATGCAAGGTTTCCAGGGGCTCAAAAACCCCCTAAAAGTCTCCTTCATTGTCCCTGGGCACGTCGAAGAGCAGGGTTGAAATCGGCACTGCAGCTGTGAACTGGACTCTTTCAGATGACTCTTCGTCCTATGGCTCCAGCATGGGCCCCTCAATAACCCAGCAATGGCGCGAGGGGCAGATCCTGCCTCTGTCCAGAGGGTCAGCGGCAGCGATCTGTCGACGAAGTTGTTCATCGAGCAGTATGCTGCAGTGGGCAGGCCAGAGACTGACTTGGCTCACGCCTCACGCCCTTTCTTTCTCCCCTTTTCCTGTTTTTTTCTTGGCATCCCCTTTGTGCTGCAAGGCCGGTCATTCTTCTGGACCTGGTCTCCTCATGGCCTGCATACTCACAATGGCGGTGTGCAGATGGCGGGCCGAACCTCCAAAAGCTTGCCGAAGACTTCCAAGGCGCTGCCACAGCTCAGCAAAGCATGGCTCTCCGTGTGTCAACCGCGCTGTCCTTTGTTACCTTGTGCTATATGGGGGTTTACGAAATAAGGGACCCTTTTTATACCCCAAAGAGAATAGAATCCCCTTAAAGGGATCCCCAAAAGGGGCACCCCTATTTTCGGAAACCCCCATATTCTGCTGACCAGGGGTGACGGGCCCAGTGGTCGACTGCGGCCATGACTATGACATTCAATCATGGGACCTCCGGCAGAGAGGGAGTTTACGTGAGTTCCTGCCATGTTAATCCAATTCAGCTTTGCTTCATGCATGCTGTCCAGCACCAGCATGCCGCAGTCCATGATATTTCCTTTCTTGGCTGGATTCAGCTGTGCTTGCACTGCAAAGGGGTGCTGCAGTCTGATCTCAGATTCAACCGTCACCCTCTCAAAGTAAGCATGGTCAGGCTTGGAACCGATCCGTTGATGTTTCAGGACGTGGGCGACTACTTCCGCTGGGCCGCGGGCACCGTCCCTCCGGAAGGCCAGGGCTTGTCTGGACTATGTCGGGCAAAGCCACTAGCACGATGCGGGCATGGTTCTTCATGGGAAATGGCTGGATAGCTGCATTGTGGTCCCCTGGCGCTTCATGTGCTGCTGCCGTTTGCAGCCTTTGGACCAAAGAGCGTGGCGACTTGTGTTGGGCCATCGTATGGGTAAAACCCTTGCTGCAAGCAGCCTCTTGTGTGTGTAGAGCAGCAGAAGGCTTGAAGTGCGAATGGTTTTGGGGCGGTGTGCGCCCTTTCAAAGTCAAAATCGTCGGGTTGTTGGGCCGGAGGGGAAGCCAACGCCGCACCGTCCAAATCCACCCCCCCCCCCCCCAAGTACCATGAGCCACGAGTTATCAGAGACTTGATGGCAGGGGCGCTTTACCTCAAAGATTGGCACCTGGTAGACGCTTGCCGCTCCCTTGGCCTAGAGGTGCGGGGCACAGAGAATGATTTCAAGGTTCGAGGTTGTTTCAAATCTTACGCGAGGTCTCGCGCACAGTTCTGTGTTGCAATCCTCGGCTGAAATTGATTTCAGGGCTCGGCTGGACGGAGGCACCATGAGGTTTCTGGTGGTCTGCGATGTTGCCTTTTGAATCAGCCTGGGTAGTCGCTTCTCTAGAGCCTTTCTTCCCGCCTTCAAAAGCACTTGGTTCACACTGGATACATCTTGTTGCTGCTGGCTGAGGTGCCTTATGAAGCCCCCGACTACCTGTCGGCGCCGGTGCACGTTTCTCGGCTTCAACAGGACACAGCAGTTGGAGCAAGCACAGTAAGTAGCTCCGAAAAGTGCAATGTGTCAGAACCTGTCCACGAAAATGGACTGAATCATGCCGTTGAGGATTGGCTGAACCTGCACATGGACAGAGCCACTGGAAAGGACCAGCAGAGCAATATCGACATGCTACCCGGTGTACAATGTATGTACAGTAGTGAGACACTGTTCCTAGACGTCCTAGATCGCTGCTCGGATGGCCTTGCTGACAAGGACGTTCAAGTTGATTCTCCGCTTCGTGTCGTTGCCATTCCCAGACATAAGACACCCCTTTCAGGATGACTATCGCTTCTCCTATGTGGGAGTTGCGTGCCTGGCGGCATTTAGCTCTCGTTGATGAACCATGTCAGACAGAGTTTGGGTCGAGTACTGGCATTGCTGCAGCTTTGGACTTCCTGTCATCAGCTTTGGTTTGCAGCACTCCGCAGTTGCAGCCCATGGTCGAAAGCTCCCCAGGGTCCGAGAGTTCCTGTGTTGCTTGTCAGGGGAACTCGCACGCCACTGCACCACGACGTGCTGTTCTCCCATTCCTGGTCCGCCAACATCTGTGGCCGGAAGCACTGGATCTTCTACCCGCCGGATGTTAGCCAGAAGCTTCTGGACTCGTCCCCTGCCGGGTTCTGATCAGAGTGGGCAGTGGGCCGGAGCTGAGTGCAAGCAACAGAAGTCAGAACGTGATCAGGTTCGGTTTTTTCTTTAAATATGAGCCGTGGGCAGATGCCAAGAAGTTGCCAGACACCTCCTGTGCTTGAAAAAAGAATCATCCCTCCCAGCTCTCCATGCGAGTGTTTTGGCCCCACCCTGACCCTGACCCCCCCCCAAACCCCCAAACCCCCCAAAGGTTCGGGAATGCGGCCGAGAGCGCCCAGCCGCAGCGCCGTTGCGAAGGCTGGTGGCAGCGCTTTCCAGGGCTCCAGGAGGCCTGGGACCGCAGGCGCAAGGGGGGGAATAAAAAGATTGGAGAGGAGATATTCTTGGAGCTTCTTCAAGGCTTTGCCTTAGAAACTTAATGGTTTTTACCTTCTAGGTATTTATGACCTTAGTATCTATGAGCTTGTTATACTATTATGAACTTAATCGTCTCATGGTTGTATTCTGCCGATGCCGCAGCTTCTGGACGCGATCTCTACGCCCATATGCCAAGCCTGAGGGGCAACTAGTACATGCCCCCAAGCGCGTGGCCTCTGCCCCCGTGAGATCGCTCAAAAGAGGCATGAGAGTTCGTGCCCGAGGCTAGAGGCCTTCCAAGAGGAAGGGGAGCTGATGTTTGTGCCCAGCGGCTGGTATCACGAGGTGGGGGTACTGCAACTGACTTGTGAATCAGCGATCAGATGAATTTCCGCAGCTGATGGGACAGTATATTTGGGAGCAGCTGAAGGTGAGGTCAGCCATGTAAATCTCCAGGTGGAGAACCTCACTATGACGATCTCCATCAACCACAACTGGCTTAATGCCCGCCACTGAGATGTCGAAGAGTGATTGGCGGCAGGTGCATCCATGCCAAAAGGGGTGAAGAGGAGCCCTGGAGGTTTCGCAATTTCTAAATGGTGCCGCCCATGGCCTCAGCCGAACATGCAAGCAGAGCAAGTCTGCCACAGGCCTCGAATGCGGTGCAAGTGTGGACATTTCTTCGGTCCGAGTGGCAGTCTGTCCGCGAAAAGACACGTGCCTCGTGATTGGTATTGAGCTTGTTTGGGGATAAACCTGCCTGCAGGATTTGCTTGCAAGTAGTCTGAAACATTCCGTGCTGGCCATCGCAAGGAGTGCTAACCTCGGATCTCAAGAAGCCCCAATGCGGATGATGCTGCATAATGGCAGCCATAAGATCGATGTGGCTCTCCGATTAGCTCAGGATCGGAGACTTGCAGGACACCTTCGACTCACCGGACGAGTTCCTAGAACAGTGCCAGGTCCTGATGATTCGCAGATGCAACAGCTTCCGTGAACATAGTGAGTGGTGTCCATGGGTGGTCTCAGGAGCACTGAGCGAGCGGTTTGGATTTGGATTGGTTGGAAGATGATTCATTTCAACATGGGTTTGCGTTTCTGTTTGGTCGCAAACCCCAGCTCAGGCTGAAGTACCCCTTTCTTAATGACGGGTGCACACTATAGTCACTACAGCATGGGCTCTTTGATAGCCGCCCGCAGCTTCAACAGAGCCAGAACCAAGGAGAGCGAATTGTGGAATGGATGTTCCTGGTGACCTGGTTGTGCCCGAAGTCTAGCAAGTGCAAGTGTTCAAAGTTTGAACAGGGAGATGTGTCGTCTAGGTTTCCGGTGGGTGGAGCTACTCTTGGTGCAAGCATCGGCACTGTAGCGTTGGCGTCAGCATCGGCCGCATTGCTCATGTGCTATTGGCTTACGCTGCTCTGATGGGCTCTCCTCGAATGTCCAGCTCTGGAGTTGATCAAATTCAGATATCATCGTCGTTCCAACTTTCTCATTGGATCTCCTCAAGAGGCTGGCTAGACATGCTGACCTGCGCCGCGGAAGAAGTTCGGCGGCTGCGCGCCGAGGAACCTGCCGGAGAGGAGTTGTGGGTGCTGGAGTGGGTGCCTTGGCTGAGGTGAGACGGCGGTGTTTTGAAGGGTTTGTCTGCACACAACCTTACCTGCCAGGGGTTGCTACCTCTCATGTTCTACCTCTGGCAAGTTACTGGTGTATCAGAGCCACCTTTGGTACATCTAGACTGCGCCTCCATGATGTGTCCTCAGGTGGAGGACAAGCTAAGAAGCTTGGACATGGAGAAGGAGGCAGCTGCAAGCCAACCAAAGTAATGACAGCCTCAGCCGGGCAGGAGGGAATGCAGTACATGCTAGGTCATGCAAAGAAGCCCATGCCGGAGGCCATAAGCTAGCTTCATATGCCTTGTGGAACTTTTTGTACTTCGACTTGCTTAGCCAAAGCTTGTGTTCCTTGAAGTGGAAGTAAGGAGCCGTGTCCGAAAGCAGCCTGGCCGACACTGCTGCCGGCGCGACAAAGCGATCGCGCGAAGCGGCGGAAAGCTTGACTGAGGCTTTAGAGCAACTTCAGACCGGAAAAAGGGGGCTCGACCTCCAGTTACCAACCAATTTGTGTGTTCTTGTGGGGGGTTCTCGAATCTAGAATTATGCAATGGTATAGGAAGTCTGTGAAGGTTGAGCGCGATCCCCGCACCCTAAGCTAAAACATGGGTTCGTTTATGTGGCAGCAATAGCAAGGGGAGCAGGCGTTCGTCTGGGGATGTGTATCTCAGCCGACCACAAGCAGATCGTGGCATGAGGGCGGGGTGGGGGGGGGGGACCCTCGACGCCCCGAATCCCGGACGGGAGGAGGGGAGGAGGGGAGGAGGGGGGAGGAGGGGAGGACGGGGGGGGGGGGGGGAGGAGGGGGGGAGGGGGGGAGGAGGGGGGCAGCGGAGGGGAGGAGGGAGGTGGAGGAGGGGGGGAGGAGGGGGGTCACCATGCCCATCACCAGAGTCATCGTGATAGTCATACCTTTGCCATTGCACGCTTGGCACGGGACAGACCATCGTATGCAGAACAATGGGTCCTTCGTGTGAAGGCGAGCAGGCCAGCTGCCGGGGTTTCATGTTGAGTTGTTTTTTTGGATCTGGGTTCTTGGCCCACGACAACGGCAAAAGCTTTTGTGCATGTTTGGTATCACTCAGAGTGGTGCTGTCACATCAGCACGAGAGCAGTGCCGTACAGCAAGCTATCCCAACTCTAACATGAAGGAGTTGCTTGGAGTCCTTCAGGGAGGTGCTGTGCAGAAGGCCTCTTCTGGGCAGCATAAAACGAGGGTCCGTTAGTCGTAGCCGTAGCAGACTCTGAAGCATCGCAACCTCCCCAAGCCCCAAACCACCTTGATCGCGAGTTGGGTCGCCCTGTTTGGGTATGGTTTTGTATGTGTGTGTGTGTGTGTGTGTGTGTGTGTTTTTTTTTTTTCTTTTTCGGTTTTGCTGTTGCTGCTGCTGATGTTCAAGCCCAGAACCCAACCCAAAGAACATGACAACACAGTAACCAGAGAACCAGCGAGGTTCGGCGTGCTGGCACAGGGCTTGGTGGCTTGGGGCTATAGGTTCAGGATTTGGTTCGATTACGCTGGCGTTTTGTTAGTTGCAGCTGCAAACACAAGTGCTTCCGGATGGCTCCACGAGCACTTTCCAAAAAACCGGCGGCACGAGTCGCGAAGCGGCCGGCAGCTTCGAAGAGACGTGCTGGTTTGCGTGACCGCAGCGAGGTGAGAGGGATGGGTTGCGTAGCTTTCGCGGTGCCTGTCCCCAGCCTGTGCCGATTCCCGATGGCGCCGTCAAGCTTCAGAGATGTGTTTTACGATAATAAGGGATCCCCAATATAGAGCTTAAGTAGTAGGGTTCCCTTGGAATAAGGACCCAACAAAGTACCCCGAGTTTCGGAAACCCCGCGATCTTGACCAGGCTCTGAACATTCGATGCCCGGGGGGCTCTCTTCTGGCAGAGGTTGGCGGCCGACAGAGCCCGGAGCTTCAGGTGACGGAGCCTTGTGCAAACTTGGAAGGGACGGGCAATGACAGGCACCTCGGTGCCCCAATTTTCTGCAAACAGAAGGATTGTGTGTATGTGTATATGTACAAATCTCTCTCTCTATATTATATGATATACATACACACATATTTTTGTATATATATATATATACATATATATATATATTTCTGCATTTTCTCATGTGCATGGTATGTACATATAACCTGCCATATATATATATGTATGCATATCCATATACATGTTGCAGTCATCTGTATTTGCGTTAGCGAGCAGCCCCGCGATTGCCAAGAAACGCCGGCACTGTGTTTGGAGCCGTGCCCGGGAGCTTTTACACGAGGAGCTGGGTGGATCCTTGATCTTGATGTTCGATCCTTAGGATTGGTTTGAAGTTGTGGGAATGGGTATTCTCCATATAGGGGCACCCTCAATAATGTCGTATCCTGATTAGTCTGGACCCCCTCAATAATGAAAAGTTTTCCAAAAATTATTCAGGCGACCCAAATTCGATTGCCCCCCCACAATAAAGTAAAGTTTTTCGGGCATGGGTTTCGGAACAGAGAAAAAAGAGAAGAAGATGATGAAAGAAAAGAGCAAAAGAAGAGCAGCTTCAAGTCGGAGTTCTGAGCTGTCATCCCCAACTTCCCGGGTTCAGGGTCTACGACCAGGCCTGAAAACAAGGATTCCTTATGACTTCGCTTATCTGAGGAGGCCTAGCCATCAAATTTTGAAGGGGGTAGTCCACGTGCTGCCCCGAAGCCCATTAAAAAAAAATTGCACCCCCACAATACTGTCAAGGTTTTCGGGGGGAGGGGGGCGGGGGGGCGCGCCTTCAAGCTTCCCGGGTTCAGGGTCGACGACCAGGCCGGAAAACAAGGATTCCTTATGACTTCGCTTATCTGAGGAGGCCTAGCCATCAAATTTTGAAGGGGGTAGTCCACGTGCTGCCCCGAACCCCATTAAAAAAAAATTGCACCCCCACAATAATGTCAAGGTTTTCGGGGGGAAGAGGAGAGGAAGAGGAGAGGGAAGAGGAGCGAAGAGGAAATGAAGAGGAGCCGGTGGGGGGGGGCCCGGGGCCGAAAATTAGTTTGGGGGGGTCCCTTTTTTTTTAACACTATTACGGGGGTGGATTTAGTTTGGGGGGGGGGGGGGGGGGGGGGGGGGGGGGGCCCTCACACTAATCAGGATACCACATTATACCGCCAAGTAGTAGAATCCTTATTACAGGAACTCCCAAAAGGGTACCCCTGTCTCGGAAACCCCCACATAAAGACCGAGACTTGCACGTGACACTGCCAAAAAGCCGTGCTTCTCAGGAGGGCTTGGTGGTGCTGCGTGGGCTGCTGCCAACTGCACTTGTATGCGCGGCCCGCATGAGGCCACCTTTTGCTTGAAAGAGGATCGCAGATTGCAGCTGTTGTGGTTGTTGGTTAAGTGCTCGAAGGCAGCTTCGTTTCAATCAGGACTCGGCCGAGTGCGGGATTATCAAAGGACAAGCTTGTAGCAAGTGCCGCCATGCAGTCCCCTGTTGGCCTGCAGGCTGTTACGGGAACTCTCTTCGGCAAGCGCGCTCAAGCGGCTTGGACATTCGCAGGTGGTCGGCCAATGCTTCGAAGCTTAAGTGGTAGCCTGGACCGGTTGCCATCGTGTCTGACCTTGAGGCCTGGCGCTGCTTTGGACATGGCTTTGGTCGCCTCAGACTGTCTTGATGGAAAGGCACGCCTGCCTCTGTAGGAGATCGAAGCCTCATCAATATAAGCTGCAGTTGCTGGCAGTCAAATGTAGGGCAATGTAGGGCACGCCGGGAAGGTGCCAATGCCTTCGCTGCTACGGCGCTTGGACCTTCAGGCCTTGCCAGAGGCGATGGCACGTGTTGCCGAGACTCGGTAAGCCGGTAGGCACGGTAAGCTGGCAGCTTGAATTGAATGCAGGTTGTCGCTGTGCTGGAGCACGCGAGCCTTTTCGAGGCGACTGCCAACCTCTTGGAAGTTGAGGAGGTCTCCTGGGCCCCTGAAGCTTTCTTGACTTGATTGCCTGCACATGACGTTATGTTGTTATGTTGCCTATCTTGACATCTTGTCATGCCTGCCGAGACACCGGGAGCAGTACTGCACCATTTCGACACCCAGGTAGTCACCACGGCGTACAAGTGGCTGCGGGCTGTGCCACCCTCGACTTACACTGGCCCCCACATGGACCGTGCTTACGTGGGCGAGGGCCGGCGGCTGACGGCCTGGATCCCACTTGGGCCCGTGAGGTGCGCATAGAAAGCCTTGGAGTGGCCGCTGTCACCTTCTGTTTTTGGTGCTGCAGTTCTATCCAAACAAAGCCGAACAACAGCCTCACTCCACCTCGTCAACCCTCGATGTAGCGAATGAGGTGTGGACAGGAGGAGCTGGGCTCCCTTTGCTGGATTCCGGGCTCGCACAGGAACCCCGCAGTGATTGAGCGGTCCGCTGGCTCAGGTAGTGAAATTCATCTGGCATGATGAGTCAATGTGAAGCCACCGTCTCTCTGGTCCGCTTTGCGCCAGTTTCTGCACACCCAGGTTCAAGGACTACCGGCGTGTCGGATCTGATGGGGAGAGGAGCACGACGGACGGTTGGACCTTCCTCGATTTATCCAAACTTTGGGGCCTGGATACGGGGTAGGGTCTACTGTACTGTTATTCGGTGAGTGCATATATGGTCCCTTGTAAATATTGGTAAGGGTAGATATGAGGTGTCGTTTGCGGGATTGAGAATAAAGGCCTACCCCCTATGCCTATGAGTCTTCGATTCTACCATCCGAGGTAGCTTTCCCATCCTGAACAACAGATTGATCGGAAAACCACGCCTGACAGAAGCCACATGCCTGAGTGTCCACGCTGCCGCAAGAGAAAGCAAACCGGCATGATCGATCTGGTTAGCGGACAGTGTGGTTTAAACTGTAAACGTCAGTTGCAGTCTCACATTACAAATGCCTGCACCATGCGTGGGGCGGAAGCCTCTTTCATTGGGGATGCCCAGAGACATCTGGAGGGCCACAATGCTTCTAACGGCGAAGAGGATCACCACACGCCCAACAGTTGAAGATGCAACAGCAAGAAGTCAATTTCCAGTCAAGGCCAAAGACAACGCAGCCATTCAAAGCTCCTCCAGCACCACTGGCCCCACGTCACAGACTCCACACCAGGAGTGGCTGGCTGGCTTCAGATGCTGGAGCCCTTACGCTGCCGGAAGGCAGCCGATGCAACCTTGAAATCTGACGATTGCCGACCTTGAGCTGAGTTTGTGGGATGCCTTTACATCTTCTCAGTAGCTTGGGTGTTCAGTTGCCCTTGAGGGCAACGTGCGTTGGGCCTGCAAGCCCCTTCATGAAGCAATCTGAGCTGCAAACATCTGATTTAAAACGCCCGCTGAAACATCCAGAGCAGAGGCTGCGTATGGCGCAGTTGCCACTTCGACTCTGGGGATGTGGACCCTTGGCAGAGATGCGGTGAGCTGTGTCGAATGCAGCAGATTTTCCTTCGAGACGAAGCAGAGGGAATCATGAGAGTCGGGCATCAAAGCCTCTCTGACAGGTTTGCTGGCATGTTGAGTTCTAAGGCGATCTTCGGTATGGATCTTCTGCACACGACTCTGCCGAATGGCACCCGGTCATTCCGGATTTCCTGTGACACGCGCTGGCAGCCTTTAGAGGCTGGGTGCTAGGCACATGGGAGAAAGGGCAGCGTGATCTTCTGGCAAAGATCTAGAGGGTGCGGAGGGCTGTGAAGGCTCTTTTGTGGTTCGTTCTTATTCTGTGGCCTGGCATCACGAGTTGAATCCCACAGCGGGTTGGCTAGCACTCCGTTTTGTCGACAAGCTGCTCGCAGGATCCCCCGCCGGAAGGCGTCGTGACAGGACCGTGGCGCTGTCGCCCTGAGCTGTCAGAGGCAAGAAAAACAGGGGGGCGCACATGCATGGCTACGACAGGAACAAGGAGGGAGGCCTTGGGCTGCCTTGGCTTGGTTGCTTCGCACGGTAGCAGCAGCGAGTCATGGGCTCATTGCACTCAGAGGATCTAGCCCCAGCACCAGTGTTGATTGTTCCCTCCCCGCAGTTTGGAGAAAAAAAGCCAGCTTCAAGGGAGAATCAAGAACAACGGCCCATGAACGATGAAGCACGCTCCACAGATGGCATCCTTTCGAAGAGGTCTCGGTGCGGCTTCTTACAACAAAGAAACAGAGCCCACCCCCTCCCCCCCCCAATCCTCTCCTCTTCCTGCCTGGAGTCATTATGATGCCACGAAGGAAAAGAGGTTGAGAAGCTGTAACGAAGTAGCACCATGCATTGAACCACAAGCAACCTCGAAATGGTTGTACACGGCCTGCGCTAGTTGGCCATGGCAAGCTCGCGAGACATCCATCCTCAGTCGCATTCAAACGATGCCGCTTGCCTTCGGTTGGCTGCATCTGGCCGGCTCATGCACTCGTGAGAGGAGGCATGGCCCGGCGCACCTGTTTGGATAACCTGTGTCCGAAGCCCAGGAGACTGGACATCAAGATCCTGTGGGCAAGAGATCCCAGTCGGGCATCGCTACTCGACAACGAAGAAGGGCGCTTGCCAGGACATGAGCTGTAGAGTGCCTTTGGTTCTCGAAATGCAGAGAGGTCGAGAAATTGTATGTTGTCATGCTTTGTCAAGCTTTGTCATGCTTGTGTGCTTGGCTTGGGGATGGAGGTCCGCCCGCTGCTCTCACGACCGCCGCTCCCAAGACTGCACCAACCTGGCATTAGTCCATAACATGTTTGTTCACTTCGCAGAGCCCAGGGCTTGAGGGAAGTGGCATGCATACTCCAGGGCGTCCTGCTGGGAATACCTGATGCTGAAACTTAACCCTGCAACCCTGGCCTAACATGGATGGCTCACCACTTTTAATTTGCTTCAGCTGTTCTGTTGTTCCTTGTGCTGCGGGGTTTTTGGGCGACCCAAGCCCAGAACAAGCAATGACGCGTAGGAGCGAAAACTAAACAAGCAAACAAGAGCTGCACGGGGATACGATACATAGGGGCAGAGCGAGAGACCGGACACGAGGGGGGAAGGTGCTTGCTTGGCGGAACAGGCGGCGTCGCGACGAATACTTGGGGTGAGAAGTTAAGCAGTTGGAGGTCTTCGATGATCGGGAGGTGAGGCTATGCTTGGCTATGCTTGGGGGAGGAATGATGAGCTGGGGACAGGGCAGAGGCCGTCGGGGGTTTCGAGAGCCGAGCTTTTCGTGGCATGACATGTAGGTCACATGCCATCCTTCGAGCTTGGCACTCAGGTATACGCAGTTCATCAACCCCGACGCGCGCCTTGGCAGGGCGCAGGTGGTGTTTGTTGCAGGGGACAGGGTATGACAAGGTGGCCTGCTCCACAAGAGCAAGGAACATAGCGCCCGGAGATCCATGGAGATTCATGACTCTGATCTTCTCGTAGGGCCCGCATGGCCCCTTTTGCAAGTGAGGTCGGATGGCCAGCGAAGTGTAAACTTCGAGGACGCTGGGAATGTTTGGCTTCCCGAAACCGAGCCCTTTCCCAGCTCCGAACCCCCTCCATGAGGAGTCGCCAAGCCAGCGCACGCCGTCCTCAAAGCGCGTGTACGACCTGCCGGAGCCTGTGGGTGTTCATTTGAGCGTGGCGCCAGATCATGGTTTCTTTGTAAACAGGCTCTTATGGCAAACTGGCATGGTGGCATAGAGCTGTCCACGTCCGAACACGCATACACACAGTCAGCCAGACAAGTTGCCCTTGCAGCATTGCGGAGCGGCAGGACTTGAAGAAATGGTTCGAGGACCTGATGCACGACGCTTGCCCTTGGGAGCTTGTTGTCTTCTTTCCTTAATCTTGTGGGTAGATGATGATGGAGCAAGCCGTCCAGCAGCCAGAGCCCTTCCGCTATGTCTGGAGAAGATTTTGCTAAACCGTTGGAATGGATCCAAGGAGTTCCAAGGGGACCCCACCGAGCATGTGTCCTTGTCGAACGTGCTCGGGCCCAACCCGTGGAATGTAGGCGCGGTCTCAGAGCCAACCAGGTCTAAATCTCCAGTGCCTTCTGGTGCACACATGTGCACACTACACCTTCAGTGTTCCTGCGGGTTGCAGCAGTCTGTACATGTTTCATCTGGCCTGTGCTTTTCAGGCTTCATCCTGAATGGGCGGCTTCCGGAGCAAGTGATCCAGCTCCTCAAAGCCTTCCTGCGCAGCGTCGCCATGCGGTTTCCCAAGTCCTACTCCTTGGAGGAGGCAGAGGAATCCCAGCGGAAGAGCAGCTCGAGGGCTGAGCTCTCTGCTGGATCAGGGGCTTCGCTACCCAAGATGATTCCAAAGCGTCTTCCGTTCACACCCCCATGATCTGCACGCGCAGGCCATGAAGCCTGCGGCAGTTCGTGGGAAGCTCCGGCAGGGCAAGCTTTGCCTTGAGTCGGTGGGCAGTTGGTCGCAGATCAGCCTAATACATGTGCCTTATCTTCATGGGATGGCCCTCGCCAATTTTTTGAGTTTATATGTATAAGCCGGACTCGGACTGAAGCCTAAACTCAGCGGAGGTGGCTGCGTTCTGCCATTACGAGCGCTTAGAGGAGGACATCCACCTGATCTTGCGCTCCTTGGTCGCACGAGGGTCCCAGAGGGAACGAGGGCACTTGGGCTTTGAGTCTTCGCTGCAAGGTCTCAAAGGCAACATCAACGCACGCGCGCTCTTCGATGTGGAGCTCGACTTCCCATCGGACTGCAGGGGGGCCTTGTATGCTGGAGCACTGCAACCACTCCCAATGCCGAAGTCTGAATGTCCAGCCCACAAGCCAGGCCTTCTAATCTTGGTCAGAGCCTGAAGCCAGAACCACAGAATAAGTCCTTACCTCTTCTCCGACGTGCATTGTGAGTTGCTACGGTTGCTTCTGAAGGAGGGCAGTGAGCAGATTTGGTGGGCCTTCTTGTCATGTGTCTGCAACAGGATGATCTGATCATCAAGGAGAGAGTCTTCTGCTCGGTTTTGCCGCAGCTGGGTTGATTGAGCACATGGTGCACTTCTGCCGACATTGTTGTGCAAGTTATCCAAGATCTGGTTCCAGAAGTGCTGGATGTGGCAGCAATCCTCCGCATATGCTCAGGATTCATTTTGCGGTCTATGCCGGGAATGTGCATGGCGTGAAGGTGGGCAGAGGGTGTATGGATCAAGAAGGCACCTTTCACAGCAGCCCTAGACGTCGAACCCCTGGATCTACACGACTGGATGGGAGCAAAGATCATCAGAGAGCACGTATCCCAAGTGGGCTGACTGTCGTGTAAAGTAGTAGCAACTTAATGTGATGCACAATTTGGCGCCACGAAAGTTGCCGGATGCCGATGGCTGAGGAGTTGTTTGCTTCACAAGACTCAAGACTGTGGAATTACTTGGGTATTCCATGTGCAGTGTCGCGAGCTGCGATGCTGCAGCGGTCGGTCGGTGTCTCTGTGTGTGTGTGTGATTTTTTTTTTGTTCTTTCTTCGCCTCTCTTCTCTCTTTTCGTCTCCTCTCTCGCTCCTCTCCCGAGCCGAGTTGCGGGGTCTGGGCTGTCTTCTCCTGGCCTGCCTGCTTGCTTTTCCCCAGAACGTTGTTCCTTGCCACCCCCTTGCTCTCCACTCCCTATCCCAGACCCCCTTTCTCGAGCTGAGTTCCGGGAATTTCCGGCGGTCTGGGTTGTCTACTCCTCGCCTGCTTTCTTTCTTTTCCCCAGAACGCCTGGTCTGGGTTGCTCCTTGCCCCCCCATTGACTTCTCCACTTCCTATCCCAGACCCCCCTTTCTCGAGCCAAGTTACGGGGTCTAGTTTTCCTTTAGTATCTTTAGTATTACGGTGCTATTATGTTGACAGACAAGTTGGTGCAGGTAGTGGGCTGAGGAGCAAGAAGTCGTAGGTTATCGATCAGTGCGGTTTTGTATCGTTTGCTTCTTGCGCCTAAAGGGTTGCCAGCGTCCTGGAGCAAAATTGCGTTTCATCTGGCCCATGAACGCCCTCTGGCACCCGGCAACTCTCTGGACCGCGCCTGAACGAGTATTGTCAATAGTTGGCTGAATCTGTCGTTTCAATGTATTCATTATTGTCGGGATTTCTTTAGTATCCCTCATGGCTTGATCCACGCCGGCTTCAATTGGCTCAAAGGGGTTGTAGTGGATCCCACACCCCCGCGGCGGTTGTGAAATTTGTGCGAGTGAAACAAACGCCCTTCAGAGGTCCCTGTACCCGTAAGAGTGCATGATACGGTCAACTTGCCAACCCCCATAGCCGTCCAGCACGAGCAGCACGCGATGCCGTCAGTGCTGTCCAAGATGTTTCATGGCTTCCAGCGAGTGAAGACGGCTTGGAAGCCCGTGACAGGAGACGGGGTGCACTTCGAGCGTTTGCGAGATGAGCAATTCGAGTATCCCTGGGAGCAGCAGCATGGGCGTCGGTGCCCAGTCGTGCTGAGCTTGCGATTCAATGCTATCGAACAAACCCAGCGGATGACAGTAGGCAACTTGAGTACAGCTTCGACAGCATACCAAGTCGCAACTAGGTTTGCTTCGGCTTATCGGAGCCATGGCGGTTACGTCTACTCTCCCAACAAGTACACGAAGACCCTCTGCCAGACTCACCGTGAAGGCCGCTGGTGCAAAGGGCTGTGCAAATCGAGGGGAAAGCCAGATGAGGACGATTGCTGGGCGTATTCTTATAGGTACCACCTTGCTGGCGGGGATCCATCAACCCGGCAGCAGCGGAAACCACCTATCATGCTACAAGCGGTTGAGGTTGATTGCCAGCTGGGTGAGGGGCAGCAACAGGAGATTGCCATCGCAGAGGACCTGGGCATCCCAATTTTCCTTGTGTCCGGGGACCGGAGGCTCGGCTTTCGGTTCCAGAAAGCAAAGAAACAAGGCACTTCAGTCGCCAAGACGCCGATGCAGGTGGCAGCTGCGCATGGAGACATAGGAACATTGCGGCTCCTACACCAATCGGGCGCTGACCTGGCTGCTGCAGGTATCGGTGGCAGGACACCAGCGGCTTGCGCAGCCGCTTTTGGTCAGGAAGGAGTTTTGCGGCTCCTGCACCAATTGGGCGTGGACCTGGCCGCTGCAGATGCCGATGGCATGACCCCAGCACACTCCGCAGCCATTTCTGGTCACGAAGGAGTTTTGCGGCTCCTGCACCAGTTGGGCGTGGACTTGGCCGCTGCAGATGCCCGTGGCGAAACCCTGGCATACTGTGCAGTCAGGGGTGGTCACGAAGGAGTTTTGCGGCTCCTGCACCAGTTGGGCGTAAACTTGGCCGCTGCAGATGCCGCTGGCAAGACCCCAGCAAACGTTGCAGCCTCCAAAGGTCACGAAGGAGTTTTGCGGCTCCTGCACCAATTGGGCATTGACCTGGCCGTTGCACGAGCCGATGGCATCACCCCGGCACACGTCGCAGCCAATTTTGGTCACGAAGGAGTTTTGCGGCTCCTGCACCAGTTGGGGGTTGACCTGTCCGCTGCAGCTGCCGATGGCCAGACCCCAGTACACTTCGCAGCCACTTTTGGTCACGAAGGAGTTTTGCGGCTCCTGCGCCAATTGGGCGTGGACCTTGCCGCTGCACGAGCCGATGGCAGGACCCCAGCACACGACGCAGCCATGTGTGGTCACGAAGGAGTTTTGCGGCTCCTGCACCAGTTGGGGGTTGACCTGTCCGCTGCAGCTGCCGATGGCCAGACTCCGGCACACTTCGCAGCCTTTTTTGGGCACGAAGGAGTTTTGCGGCTCCTGCACCACTTGGGCGCAAACTTGGCCGCTGCAGATGCCGCTGGCCAGACCCCAGCACACAACGCAGCCTCCAAAGGTCACGAAGGAGTTTTGCGGCTCCTGCACCAGTTGGGGGTTGACTTGTCCGCTGCAGCTGCCGATGGCCAGACCCCAGTACACTTGGCAGCCACTTTTGGTCACGAAGGAGTTTTGCGGCTCCTGCACCAGTTGGGCGTAAACTTGGCCGCTGCAGATGCCGCTGGCAGGACCCCAGCACACAACGCAGCCATGTGTGGTCACGAAGGAGTTTTGCGGCTCCTGCACCAGTTGGGCGTAAACTTGGCCGCTGCAGATGCCGCTCGCACGACCCCAGCAAACTTTGCAGCCTCCAAAGGTCACGAAGGAGTTTTGCGGCTCCTGCACCAATTGGGCGTGGACCTGGCCGCTGCAGATGCCCATGGCATCACCCCGGCACACATCGCAGCCAGCTTTGGTCACGAAGGAGTTTTGCGGCTCCTGCACCAATTGGGACTTGAACTGGCCGTGCACGAGCAGATAGCGCCATCACGATGCGCAGTCAGGGATGGCGAGACCGAGCTCCACGCAGCCTGACATGATGGGAGCCGGATGTTTGCAGCTTAAGGGGTTAAGTCAGAACCAGCTTTAGTAGCAAAGCAGTGCAGCGCAAGACTGTGGCACGACGCGGCATTCCAAGACATCAAAAGCGCTTCGGATGGTGCGACTCCCCGAACGGTGTTATCGTATGCTGTATAGTAAACTGTACTAAATTACCAAATTGCGATATACTATAGTATATTGCGATATACTATAGTAATCTATAGTATATTGCGCTACTGTAAGTCATTAAAAAAACCCTACTCCCTTGGAGGTGCTCCTCCGGTGCCGGGCCGCGGTGGAATCGCGGAACCTCCTCTTCAAATGCCAAAACTGTGTCGGGATTTTCCCTTTGAAATTCGGGGGTGCCTTTTAAAGGGGGGCTTCTATCGCCATAATCTTCTTCGTCGGAATGTGGCTACAAGATGGGGCCATACTACAAAATTTCGAGGTAAATGAGGAGTACCCATATCTTGACAGAATGAGAACCTCAAACCCTAAACCCTAAACCCTAAACCCTAAACCCTAAACCCTAAACCCTAAACCCTAAACCCTGGAGATTTCCTTTTTGCCATTTTTCGAGACCGACCTTGAAACCCCGCATTGCTGTGGCTAGTCGGGTGCCAAAAAAACCCTAAACCCTAAACCCTAAACCCTAAACCCTACACCCTTTCTCTCTTCGATTGTCCTCCGCGGAGTGGCTGCCCGAGGGGTCCGCTCCGCGGAGTGGCTGTACAAAATCCCAGGGCCACCTTCGACTCCGTCCCAGACTACACTCCGCTGCATCTGGCCACGACGCTCTGGGCCCGGGCGGGGGATGATGCCGTGATCCAACACCAGGCTGAAGCTTTCAAATTTAGGGTTTAGGGTTTAGGGTTGAGGGTTGAGGGTTGAGGGTTTGGCAAAAAAGGGTTGAGGGCCTATCTTTTTTTTGGTGTTCAACTCTAGCTCGGTCGATGCGAAGCCCCATCTTCCCCCAAAAGGTGGTGAAGGTTCTGCTGGAAAGCATGGCAGATCCCACGACCGTGGATCTCAGCGGCGTCACTTGCAATGACCTCAGGTTCCTCGGCACTTGCGGACTTCAAAGGGTGATGCAAAGTATGATGCAGCAGTAACATGCTCGAGGAATTGCTGATGCCTTTGCCTTGTGTTCTGCGCTAATGCTGCGCAAATTCGTCTAAGTTTAAGTTGCTGACAGGCCGCAAGGGAGCTGCACACTCAAAACCTTGCGGGCACGCAAAATTGGCGGCATGAAGAAAGGCATGGTGGTAGCACCTTGGCTTCAAGACAGTTCGGCGTTGCAGTGAGACCTCCGCCCGCCCCGATGCTTGATGTCCAGGGCGATGTGCGCAATACTTCAGAACGTCAAGCTGACCTCACTGGCCTCAAGCGTGTCGCGGGGATTTGCGAGCCTTTCCCGACTTTCCTTGCCTCTAACCACTAGGGAAACAAGTCAAGATCCGACCCTTCTCCCAACTTCTACCCTGGTTGCTATGCTCCGCTATGAAAAACTCCTGCCAGACTCGCCTGTCGGCTGCGACTCGAGAGTCTTGCAGTCCTCATAGGCTTCGTATGGGTCCGTAACAAAGAGCCGGCCCCCCTCTGCGGGGCGTTCTGCTCAAGATGCGACATGATGTTTTTGATGTGATGCCAGTATATATATATATATCTCCAGATATACATAGTGTAAATGACAAAATAAGACAAATACCTATAGGATATCATCTACAGAGCATATGGTGTATGTACCATGGCCACAAAGGAGCTGGACTTGGAAGCCATCGTGCGGAAGGGCCCCAAGGCGAGGTTGGAAGTGCGCCAGCTCCCGCCTCAGAGTGGGTGAGCCTTTCGCATGTTCAGCCAAGTGGCTCAATGAAAAAAGCCCTTAGGTGCTGGGCGTGGGTAACCTTGAAGCTTTTGGGGTACAATAAAGCCCCTCAAAAACCCATTTTGAAAACCTTTTTTTCCCCTCGCGGAACTCAGCACCTAAGAAGCGCTCTCGAAAGCAGAAGCTGCAGGGTAAGCTCACTTCACAAAATGCTGCAAGGTTTCTTGCTGAGACCGCCGATGCACGCCGCTGCGAGTTCGTGGTAATGGCAGATGCAGAGGACTTCCTCTTCGTGCCAATCAGTGTTGGTTAAGAATGATTGCTCTCGGATGACCTGTCAGATACTGTAGCTCTCGAACCATCGTGTGGCCCATATGCTACAATCTGTTCTAATCTGTTTCTTGACCATGATCCATGAAGCTGTGTTTTTGGCCATTGTGAGAGGCAGTTTTCTGGCACAGGAACTGACTTGCGAAGGACCCTGATGAAGAGGATGATCTGCTTCAGATATCCCAGCTGACCAGGTCTCAGAACGGGGTTAGCTCTTTACGGTGTAGACCGAGATGCTACATTCCCTGGTTCTTGCGTCTGACTCTTCGAATCCTGCCAGGGACAACTCGGAGGAGAGCAGGCCGCTCAAGATCCAGCAGTCTTGCGTGTCCGTGCTCGGTTGCTTGACTCGGTGTTGAAAAGCTTTTGTGGAGTCATGATGTGCAGAGGGTCTTACGAGCGTGAGCCTAATTCCAGAGCCTGCTGTGTCTGTTGCTTCGTCACGCCTTTCGTCAGAGGTTATCGCTTCTTCCAGTACTGCCTTCGATATGTGCTGAATGAAATCTGCGGGACACCACGGGTGCAATCTCCAAGGCCTGCTGCAGCCTCGTTGCCGAGCTTCCACATGCATCCTCTGACGGCAGGTCCATGGTGGACTCCCCACTGATACGATCACGAACTCTGGATGATGAGAGCGCCGTGGAGGGATCTCTGACAATCCAGGCATGCAAGCACGCGGTCTGCTGCTTCCCAATTGGCATATGAACACGAGCCACGAGCACCGACGGCCCCTTCCCACATAGTCTCGTCAGTTCAGAGCCTGCGCGTGGTTGTGAATTCTTTTGCGTCATGCAGGATTTCCGGGTAGGAGGGCCCTCAAAGCGACGAGCCGTCACTATCGCGGACTTGCACTCGAGTGAGGACCGGTTTCTGGCGGGCGTTTGTTGCCGGACTTGGTCAATTGACCCCCTTAAATGCAAGATCCGTTGCAAACTGGGTTGCTTATGAAAGCCCCTCACAAGGCCCCCAATTGGAGGTGTGCCGCTTGTCCGGCCCTCCCTTCGGCAGTATGGCCAGCACTCCCGCCATGAGACGCCCTGCGAGACAGGACATGATGAGCGAAGTGGAGCTAGAGCCTGGCATCGTGCCGGAAGTGGTGACTTTGCTGTGAACCAACCCCCTCATATGCTCTTGTGCTTCAAAAACCCCCTAAACCCTCCTAAACCGCAGTTCAGGAAGGTGTACCAAGCGAACAAAACCGCAGCTCCGTGTGAACCTGTTGAGGAGCTCGAAGATGCCGTGCAGATGAAGCTGAGCAACCCCCTGCGCCCAGGGAAGTTCTACCGCGTCCTGGCTTTTTTTTGGAGACCTGTGCAGGGGTTTAGGGCTTAGGGTTTGGGGTTTAGGGTTTAGGGTTTAGGCAGAGTCAGGGAACTGGCGAGCCTGAAGTTCAAGATGAGAGCAGCGAATCCCTGGCAGTTTTGGGAAGCGAGTCAGACAATGCCGGCAGTTGAAGCCCACCGAATCGGAAAAGAGTCAGACAACCGAGGTAAGAGGAACAGGGTCTCCGCGGGATACCTCTTGCACTATGCAGTTGACGAGATGGTCCGCGAGGAGGATGCGGCGCGCGAGAAAGTTTCTGCATGTGCTTCAATTGCACACGAAACTCTAAACCCTTAACGCTCAACCTCAAACCATCTTAAACCCTTAGGTGGTTGCACAAAACATTCCTTAACCCTAACTTTTTTGGTGGAGGACAAGAAGTGGCAGACTCCTCCCGAGGATGTTCTGCAGCACCTGGGGCTGTCGTTTTAGGACGTGGGCATCCGGGTCAACAGCATGAGCCATCACATGAAGCCCATGTTTTGGGTCGGCTTGTGGAGAAGCTTTAATAAGGTACATCGTCGCCAGTCGCGCTGACATTCACGCCAAAGCAGAGGTGGAGCGCAGAACCAACGCGAACGATGCTGGTCATGCAGTCATAGGGTCTCGCAGGTTGAGTTTTGGAGTGTAGCGACAGGACTGTGACAGGACTTTTTGACAGGTTCATGCAGGCTGTGCACCAGCAAGAAGAATTGCGATTCGGAAGGTGTGCATAGCTGGGCTGAGAGCAGCCCATTCCCATTGTACTGGGTATTGAATAAGCCCAAGATCCAGGCACCTACTCATCGCCGCAATCGGTGATGCTAAGGAGTTCTGCAGCGTCACCAGCATGCATCTTGCTGCAGTGGGACGCTCGCACCGCGTTAGTTTCTCTTTTTTGTTTCAGGGGCTACTGCACCAGGCCAACAGTTCGACCCGTCAGCTTCAAGGATTTTAGACCCGTGGCCCCGCCCTCTTCCTTGTGGACTCCTGACACAAGTGGGCCTGGGGGAACTAAACAGTACTAGTACCGTATTTTTCAAACGGGGTATCAATTAGTCCACTAGCAGGCGTAGTGAAAACGACACTTGTCGGCATTCGCCTACTCCGCACGACTCTGCTGTATCTGCATGTGAACTAACATGCTCCGTAGGTCGAAACGTTCGGCCAGGGGTGTATTCGCCTCCGCATGCCCACAGCATATGGTGTGTCGGGACGTCCGCTCCACAGCTTAGGCCACTGCCTGCCAGCTGCGTGGCGCTCAGAGAGTCAAAGCTGCAGAGGCTCACGAGTTCCCGGGCCAATGCTCGCTTGCCCCAACATTCTCCACGCATATATCCCACATGGTCAACAATGTGAAAAAGCATTGCCGCTCTCAGATGCCCCCTGATTTGCCGCGTCAGATGCCCCCTGATTTGCCGCGTCTTTGAGGTCAAGGCCTTGCTCAACTTGGGTGCGTCCCTTGCCGCTGGCCTGAAACGCTTGGGAGGAGCACAGCCGTGCTTGAGCAAGCGATGTTTAGATTTACCTTCCATTTTGTGTGTCTGGAATTCCCTCCTGCCTCTGCTGTTGCCGCTGCCGGCGGCGGCGGCGTGGTCGCCGTCGTGGTGGTGGTTGTTGTTGCTGCGGTTGCTTCTGTTGCTGCCGCATGCGTGCGATCGCAAAGACCATGTAAATCTTTCCTCACCTGTGCTCGTCTTCGTTCACCTGCGTTCACCTACGCCCCAATTATGCTAGCGACGACCAGACTCCAGCTATGAGACTCTGAGGAATCAGCCTCAGTCTTTGACAAGATCCCATGCTGGACGCCCCTCGCCGATGCGATCGTAGCCACCATTGACTACAACCATGCGATGCGAAGTTCGGCATCGCCCTACCCTTTGATCAGGGGTGCGAAGGCGGGCTCGCGGTTGAAAGGCCGGCTGGACGAAATGTCAGAACATGTCTTGGGTGGTGATGCCAGGACTCTGTTATCCAATACCTCCTGGAGCAACGTGCCAATCCGGACGGTTGTGGTGGCAGTGGAGGCCTAAGCTGTTTGCACTTGGCCGTCGGCAAGAACTGTGATACGGAGCTGATCTGCCTGCTGGTGGAAAACAGCGCAGCGGAAGCCTTAGCCGTGTTGATGCTTGACAGGGCTTTCGAACCTCCAGCCTTCCAGCCGTCTTTGCCAAAAATGTGCCGAGGACGTGACGCTCAAGACGAGCGCCTACGTCCGCGCCACCCGCGCGCATGGCAACCGGGGATGGGATCGAGGCTTGACTCCACTACAGCTCCTCGGCTTTTGCAGAGGCATCGAAGCAGCGTCCGTCAGTTCACATCACTTTCTTGTAGGGCCTGCTGTGAGCTACTTGAAAGATGTTATAAGGATCTGCGACTATGCAGACCAGGCCTGACAGTGTCCCGCAGCATAAACCCATATAAACGCATCTAAACGCATAGGGGGTTTTCTGGGCGCCTTGCTGATGATACCGACTCGGATCGACTCGGAAACCGACTTTGCCCGGCCGCAGGTCTATTCCCAAAAGCAGCGAAGCGAGGCACGTCACCACCAGGAGTTCTTTCGGAAGTTTGGGGTCAGGAAACGCTTTTGGGTTTTGGATTGGGTGTAGGCAAAGGTATGTTATATGGCATAAAGGCACGCTGCACTACCTTCCGGCTCCCAACCAGGTCATGGCGCTGCTGGCACCTTCCCTGCGAGGCGCCAGCTTCTTGCTCCAGGCACGCTGTCCCCTCACTTTGGGGGGCGAAACAGGTGCCAGGATCCTAGAGACCTGGCATCAGTCGTCAGCCTTTAAGGGGGCCCCGAACCTAAGGTTCCAAGGACTCTTACTTCAAGGTCAGTGGAAAGAAGGGACCACTAAGTGCTGCGGCAACAGAGGTTGAGGCATCTGGCATTGCCCCGCATGGGCGTTGCAAGGTTTCAGAAGGCTCTTTCTGCATTGGTATTGGTGCTTCGTCTGAAATGGGTACCCTTGTAGCAACTGAGTGCACCTGTGGCGTAAGGCACCCTGAGAACCCTGCAGGACGTGACCAGCATGGCCGCTTTCAGCGTGAGCGGCGCCCAAGAGCTTGTAAAGCGTGTCGTGGAAGAGTCCAACAAGGTCTGGGAGCGGTGAAGATGGTTTTTTTTCTAAGCCAGTACTCCCGCTTCAAGGCTCTCGAACGGCCAACTTTTAGGACTTTCAAGGGCTAAGTAGGGCTGGTGTTTTCATTCTGGGTCTATTGAGTGAAGGTTGCGAAAGAGGCACAGCCGGGGTGTTTCTTCTGTGCAGAAACAATTTGTTCCTGGCTTCCGCTTCATGAACCCGGCATCCAGAGGTCAGGACATCTCCCCACAAATTCCGATTCCGGATTTGCCAGGACTCTGGCGGCACGGCGGCGCGTGCTCTCTCGACGCTGCGCCTTCGTGCGGTGACGGGGGCTCGGTCCGCCGAGGGCCTGGAGCCAGTGGAGACTCGGTCTTTCCGGTATTGCCAATCTTTTTTCCGAATCGCATTATCATTTCGCGTTGCTTTTCGAAACTGTTTGAAAGTCGAAAGGGGGCATCGAACGCAGGCAGGCAGGAAAGGCGAAGGAAAAGGGGTCGGGCTGGTGCCACGATGCTGGGAGCACCCTGTGGCTTGAGAGACATAGTTGTGGGAACTTGCGAGCAGCCTGCGATCAGACGCCACGAGACATTTGCCCAGGACAGCATTGCGGAGCTGTTGGAGATTGCACCATCCATTGCCATTTCGGTGCTGGATGACCTGCTCCTGACGGAACCTGCAGCCTGGCGGGGATCAGACACGGCCATGAAAGTGCTGGGGGCGGGGACTCTTCGCAGAAGAACTGATGGGTTGGAGCCTGCAACGTTGATGCATGTTGATGCGCAGCGCATGTTCAACTTTGTCGAGGACACTGAAGATCCACATGTGCATCCCCTGCCTCACCGGGCAAACATGAACTACAAGCATCGAGCGCAAGGACATGTGCTACCCCGCAGTCTCATGGTGTTCACGTATCTCACGTCCTCATGCAGAGCCGCAGAGCGCATTTTTCTTGCGGCTGAGCGCAGCGACTAGTTGTGCTTCAGTTTGTGCATTGCATCTTGCAGCCAGGATTCGGATGGTCGGCTACCGTTTTCGACCTGCCCAACTTGTCGGTACAAACCTCCTACCAGCCCGACACGAATGAGGATAGGCCGGGCCCTCAGTAGCTTCCTCATGTCAGAACCTGAACCCTAGACAGCCCTAAACCCCAAACTCCGAACCCAAAACCCTACACAAGAAAACTGAAGACTCCCAAATCCAAACACCCCGAGCTCCTACACAAAGGAGGATCAGCTGACGGTTGCACGACCGGTGGTCCTGTGCCAACCGCCCCACCCACCCGCCCTCGCTGGAAAGCTGAGAGCGACATGTTCCCCAAGGCAGACTTCGGACCTTTATTGCCACTCCAGTGCCTTCGCAAGACACAAGGCGCCCGCCCGCGCTGGCGTTCCGGTTGTGTCGCTTTCCAAGCTGAAGTTCAGAAGTCTGCCTTGGCATGCGCAAGTTAGGCAAGAGGGGGACAGGTAAGATACGCCCCATCAGCATTGCTTCTCAAGATGTTTATGCTAGGTACAAAAGCTACAGCAATGTAGCACCTCCGAAGCCAGTCAGTCGCCTTTGTTTCAAGGCCTAAGCCTTCGCAGGTCCCTTAATCCTGAAAATAAGCTAGCAAAACAATCGAATGAAGCCTGCAGGCTCAAGCTTGTTTCTTGAGGGCGGCTCAGACCTCCTGTGGAAGTCATGAAATCGGAAATGGAGGTGACTGCTTTCGTCGACTCAACGGATGGGCTCGGAGTTGAAGGATGTTGGAAACGTGTGTGTGTGTGTGTGTGTGTGTGTGTGAGTGTGTGTGAGTGTGTGTGTGTGTGTGTGTGTGTGTGAGTGAGTGGGCAAGCTTGTGGACCGCAGGTATCCGCAGGTGGCACCCATCGTTTCTCAAGCTTGCATCAGTTCGGCTGCCCTTTTGCGATCTCGTAGCCTCAAATAGTCCCTGCAGAGCAGATACCCAGTGTGGTGTGTGCAGTGCGGGTGGCGAAAAAGAACCCTAAACCCTGAACCTTAGAGCCCAACATGGTTGTTTCCTACTTTTTGGGGATCCGTATATCGGGGGCCCCTTATTTTCGTAAACCCCCTAAACCCTAAACCCTCAACCCTCAAACCTCAACCCTAAACCCTAAACCCTAAACCCTAAACCCTAAACCCTAATTCCTTTTCAAGAGCCAGTTGTAGGCTTGGCCTTGCTGGCTCCGATCGCACCAGTGCTGGCACGGGACGCTGGCCCCGAAGGCGTCGTGCAACAGGCTGGTTTGGGGTTAGGGTTTAGGGTTAATCCCGGACTTCCCAACATGAGAGTGCATGCTGGACCCATCTCACGGCGAGAGCGGTGAGCATGGGCTGAAGGGTTTAGGGTTTAAGGTTTAGAGTTTGGGGTTTAGAGTTTAGGGCTTAGGGTTAAGGGTTTAGGGTCTCGAGCTGAAGCGCGAAGTTCAAAAAGGGCTTATAAAAGAAGGGCATGCGTGTCGAAATGTGCAGAACTCAGATGTGGGCGTTCTCAAAGTTATGGTCCCGTGTGGGGTGTCCTAAGTATACGGCTCCATATGTATTAGGAGCCACTGAATGGGCTCTATCTCTGAATGTGGCTTGATTCGCGACAGAAGTTGTGATGCCTCCTCTCTTTGCATCATTTCCCACACGTGCTTTCCTACACGAGTCTGGCGTAGGGGCAGGTGTGTTGCAGCGTGTTATCAGTTACGGGGTTATATCGGCAGCAGTTTCCAGTAGTCCGCATGGGCTCAAACACGGGACTCAGCTCAGAAATGTCATCCGAGCCCGATTTGTTGAACAGTTATGCCGTGACGTCACCTGCTCGGGGTTTGGCCCCCCACTCCCTCTCTTCAACCTGAATTTGCAAGCCTCCCAAAAGATGCAGGGGTGGCCTTATGCTTGAGGTCGAACGATACATGCCCACCAAAGGAAGAAGGTCCGCATCAAGATTCACGAGCCCTGGGACACGGGACAGAAGTATCGGCACATCTGGTTCAATGAGTGAATGCAACTAATCAGACGTTTCAGCGCCGTCGGCGCAGGAGCCCCTCGAAGCCGTGAGAGTTGTCGAATTAAGCCATAGGATAGGATAGGAAGTCAGAGCAAGCCCCACCGAAATGCAGCCGGGTAGCCGAAACATTGCGCAGCCTTGCCTGGCAATCCTCACAGCAGCCAGAACGATCATGACAGCAAGAGAGCAGTGCAGCAGCCAGGAAGGCTGCTGTTCGGGATGCCTAGGCTGCGAGACCCCTCCCTCTGAGTCCCTTGAAGGGTAGTTTCGTGGGCCTTCAGTATGGTCCCTAACTTTCTTGAAAGGGTTCTGATGTACGGGCCCTTAGTATGTATAGGGTAATCATAGGAGAGACTAAGGGACCATGTAACTACCCTTAGCCTGGCAGGGCGAACCTGATGGATCCCATGGGCATCCAGAAGGCGCGGCCGCAAGCCAGGAGTTTCGCCGAGCAGCACGTTCGGCTGGGAAGTGCTGCAGAGTAGGGTTTAGGGTTTAGGGTTTAGGGTTTAGGGTTTAGGGTTTTTGGTTTAGGGTTTTGGGTTTAGGGTTTTGGGTTGAGGGATTCTCATGGTTTCCATTGCAAGGGAGCCCCCTGGCGGGCTACTCGAGCCCTTGCGGGCTCCTAACCACGTCGCAGGTTGTGGATCAGATGGGGGCGCCGACGGCATTAAAGGGACGGCACCAGGATGGAGCCTTGACTGACCAATGATGGGGTCGTAAAGCCTTGAAGACTTCACAAGCAGTCTTCACGACTCTTGCATTTTGCATGGCGAGCTTGGAGAAGTGGTCGGATCCGTCACTCGTGAAGTTGGGACACTAGCCCAGCGAGCACCAAAGTTACGGTTACAAGCAGTTGAAACCCATGCACGTTGTCCCAGTGCTGTGACCAAGCTTTCAGATGGCCAAGAGCTGCATCTGCCTGAAGCTTGGGCCCTTCATTGCTGTTTATGAAGCTGCTTCGCCCCTTGCTTGTTGCTGATCTCAGGAGACCGCGATGTTTGCATCAAGGCTGCTCGGCAGTTGTGCTCGGAGACAAGGGTCTCACCAATGACGGCAGGTAGGCGGTCCTGTCGTAGCGTCATGGGTGATTGCACTCGGCACCCGCTCGGAACAGAGTAAGTTGAGCAAACAGCTCGGCATGTTTGTGGAGCAAGCTGTGCGAGAATTCGTCTCTTTCAGCATGAAGACAGCCGCACTCGGGTCTCTAGCGCAATTCAGCGCTCAAGACTGTCAGGGCTTTATCGATGCTTTTGCGGGTAGGATTGGTGGTGGCCGTAAATTGCCACAGCCTCTACCGGCAAGCAATTGCAGTTCCGTCACCTGAATGATGAAGCTAGCATATCATGAAAAGAGCTGTCAAGAATCAAGAACATCTGAGGTTTTGCTGCTGTCCAACGTCTTGGATGCTCTTGAGCTTAAGCCTGGCTGAAGTCGTTCGCATCCACGGCTGACTCGTTAAAGAGCTGCGGTAGGGCATCGATTGGCATAGATCACAAAGTATGCCTGACCATGTTGCAAGATTTCGGCCATTCACCATGGCACGTCTTGGCTGATTCTCAGGTGCGCATCATGATGGCGCTGACCAGTGTCAGCTGGAGCGAGATATTTGCGGAGAAGGCTTCCGGCGCAGCACATCTTCCGTGAACCATGCCTGACGTAGGCAAATAAGCTTACCAAGCGCTGAAGCAACAGGTGGTCCAAGCCATCCTCAGCTGTGGCTACGAGTCGTTCTGCTTCCGACCTATCACTGCTTCGCTTCTCCAGGAGTGCTCAGATGGGCTAGGGTCGTTATGATGCTCGTAGAATGATGGGGTAGGCCTCAGCGTGTGCACCATCTTGCATCAGCTTGCATCGGTCCGTCTCGATCGCAAGACTGACGAGGAGCTTATGCTGTTCTGCGCGTTTCTGTGGGAAGCTTAGGGGAGGTGCTGGGAGGTTTGTCTTAATTACCTCGCTCTGACATGCAGGTCGCACATCTTTACGATTCTTTACGTGATAGTTGTTATTGGAATCAGTGCCGACCGTCCGGCAACGTTACAAAGCGCCGAATTCTCGTGCGCGTTCAACTCCGAGGTCAGATCTAAGGGTAGTTCTGAATACAAATCGCGGACTGCTGGGGCAGGAGCGGGGAAGCCATCCTGAATGCGTCATTCGCGCAAAACTCGTGTTTTCATTGTGGTTTGTGTTCTATTTTTTTGCTTCCGGTCGTTCGATTTTCGCTTTACCACAGAGTACGGCTTTGATATGTATATGTGCAGCTTTTTTTTACTGCAAATTCGCGCAAGAATATTGAGGCTCGTGTTTCGACGGGGTTTGCAGAGGGTCTGGCTATGTTGTGAGCGCATTTGACCTTCCGAGGTCTTGGTCATTTGGCTTCTGGCTCTGGGAACCACGGAAGACGGCCTGGACGGCAGCTTCGGTCGCACAGCGTCTGCATTGTCCGTGGTCACGGCCTCTGAGGCAACTGTGGGTGCCAGTGCGAAGTAGTGCAGGCTACGGGCCGGAGCTTGTTTCAGAAGCGTCACAAGATGAGCTGGTGTGGAAAAGTTAGGGGCGCGACGGTTTAGGGTTTAGGGTTTAGGGTTTAGGGTTTAGGGTTTAGGGTTTAGGGTTTAGGGTTTAGGGCTTAGATAGGCCGGGGCCCGAGGTGATCTTCGCCATCCTGGTGAACGAAACCATCACCATCGTTTGGTGGATGCGGGGTGGCTATACCGCAAGTTGCGGTTTCAAGAATCGCAGGTCTGACCTGGTCCCAGAGGATCCCAACAAAAGAGAGCCCCCCCCCCCCCCAAAGATCGTACCCCATACTACTCTTGGGCCATTTCTTAAGAGCCCTTAAGAGGATCTACTTTTCGGATCCTCCCAGGGATCTGGGGTGGCATTGTAGCCGTCGCCCAATCGAGGTCACTTTTGCTATGGCTGGACGCTGAAGCAGTTTTTCCTGCATCCCATGGCTGGCTTCCGGATCATCCAGCTTTACCTCTTGTGGTGGCTGCTGTGGAGGAAGCCCTAAAGCCTAAGCCCTAAACCCTTAAGCCTAAACCCTAAACCCGAAAAGCCTATAAACCCTAAACCCTAAACCGTAAACTCTAGGGTTTAGGGGCCTTAAACCATGAACCCTACACCCTAAAGGAGATGGGTTGGCAGCAGAATCGACAACCGAGGGCCCTTCGTTGGTGCCTCGCCAGGACTTTCTTTGGCTACGACCTGGACCACACCTGGAGGAACGACGAGGACTTGCAGGAGCCTCTTTCGCAGAGTTGGGTTCCGGCGGTAAGTCACAACCTTGAGCGCGGCTCTTAGGACACTGGTGGTTCCGTGGCGCTTGAATGTGCTTATTTATGGTAAAAGCCTAATGTCTTCGAAAAATGTGGGTCTTGGAAAACCTAGATACGTTTGTGAAAGAACTTGGTTATTTTTATGCGAGCAACCCCGTGCAGTATGTTGTGGGAAGAACCAAACGCTGTAAATACAGGTGTTTCAAGCATCTCCACAAAAGACATGAGCGCTTGTGACAGTCTTGTTCCAGAAACGTCAAAAGTCCTTTTGCTAGGCAAAAACGCTGCAAATACATGAACGCTTGTGACAGCGCGTCTTGTTCCAGAAGCGTCAAGCATCCATTTTTGCATCATGCTTTATCATCCCCCCAACCCCCCCACCCCCCAATCCCCCCCAACCCCCCACCCCCCAACTCCCAGTGGTGCACGCACCCCCAACTTACTATGCTACGAAACGATTTGCTTGCTACCATGGCCAGCGTTCGAACCCCAGGGCAACAAGCGGACCTTTGAGCGGAGCTTGCTTGGTGCGAACATGCTCCTGCAATGCTTCTTGTTCATCTTCCTGGCAAAAGGCCCGTGGCTGATTGCACTGCATGCTGATAGCAGCTGGTCATGGAGCTTCTACACAGGGCAGACGACCTAACTTGAGCTGAGCAAGCTGAATCTTCCGAAGGTGCATCTCCTCGGCTGGAGTTTGGTCGGCATCTCCTGGCCATACTCCACTCTTTCCTCCGGTCTCTTAGCACTGAGCCCAAAGAATGTTGCATTTTTTGCAGGTTGGATGGAGGATTCGACATTTGTAGAGAATGTAGCAGTCAGCTTTGCGTCTGACATGATTGGGAGCGCTTCATCGCATGTCTCGTGGTAGCACTCGGAACAAAGTGGGTGGACTTGGGCGCAATGACCTGCAACATCAGGTTGGGGGTCATCTTCACCGTGTTGATCTTGGTATTTGCAAGCTTCACATCTGCGTACATTGTCATGGGCTTCTTGGCACTTTATGTAGACAAGCTGATTGTCACTCCTGTTCTGGCTCAGGGATAGGGATGGGACTGGGCTGGTAAGAGTGAGAAGAAGCAGATGCGGACATACCTGATCACTGATCACCGTTTGTGTGCGCCTCGGGCCTCAGGCTCCAAGCTTCCGCTGCGGGCTCTCATCGAGAAGGTCTACCGCGGCCTCTTCCTTGCGGACGGAGAGGGGCTGGATGTCATGGAGGCGAAGCTCCCAGAAAAGGGTTCGGAGGTCTTTGCGGATGGAGAGTCCATGCCTGTCGTGGCTAGAGCAGCTTTGGGAACCCCTTGACATCCCATGCGGCGCGCACAGCGAACTCAGCAAGACGAAACCAGGAGCTGCTGCCTAGCCGAAATAGCCGAAAGCAGCACCCCTGAGCCAAACAATCCAGGGTGAGCTCCATGATGGAGAGCTGCAGCCGAACAACCTCGACACCTATCTCACCTTGTTCTCCACGCTCCTCGTCACGAGTTCCTCGCGAGTTCCCCACTTCAGGCCGAAGTTATATTGAACAATAGTTCAAGAAATGTCGATACCCCTCCCTAATTCCACTCCTCCGATCTCGCTCAGAACCACGGTGCCTCGCCGAGGTTCATTGTGACCATCTGCCTGCTAAACGTCTCCATTGCAGCCGCTTGCTTGCACTTGCTTGCCCTCATGCCGGGCCTCAGAGTGTCCATGAGAGCGAGAGAGGTCATGCAACATAGCATCCGTGAGCCTAACCAGGTCTTTACCATGGAGTATGAAGCTGCCATCAAGGAACCTTGGCATCAAAACCATGCCAGTGCATGCCCAGTGGAGCTGAAGAAGAAGCCCCGGAAGAGGTAAACTTTTCGCTTCAACTAAGCCACTTTTGACCAGAACCCGACAACCAATCGACAGATACCTGATAGCGAATGATCCAAGGCGCAGTCCACGCTGTCAAAGAGCCAACCGACAGGCACGAGCCAGCAAGAACCAACAAGAACCAAGGAGTCTTGGCTCCACTTCTGGCGCTGGCGGGCGCGCCTCTGCGCCGAGGTCACGGGCGACTTTGTATGCTCTAGAGTGGGTTTGGCAGAGGGGTCGGTATGATGCTGATCTGCAGGTCCTCCTGTGTCCACGCTGGCCATGGAAATTTGAAGCCAAGTGGGCGCTGTGCTCGGAGCGGCGGCGCATGGCCCAATGCTTGGAGTGGGCGGCGCAGAAGCCACGCAGCTGTGTTTTGTGGAGCTCCTAAACCCTAAACCCTAAACCCTAAACCCTAAGTATCTGTCTCAGCTGTCTGTGCTCAGAGAGTCTCCTGTCATCTGCCCGCCGGTAGGCTCAAAGAGGATGTCATGCCCCTGATCCATGGCAGCCGGCTCTACCAAAGGACTGTCGCACTTGCATCTCAGACCTAGAAAGCTTTCTGGTAGTGCAAGGGCTCCCCCGCAAGACTCCACTAATTAGTACTGTAGTCCTTCTCAACCCACAGTGTGGGGCCAGGACGTTCAACCTTTGTGGGTACAGAGTGAACTGGGAGCCTCTGACGGAGGCAGATCTTGAGCCAAAGGACGAGGATGCGGAACCCTGGGAGGTTAGCAAGAGTGTGCTCGTTTTGCTAGTACATGCTTGCTTCCCCCTTTCTTCAGGATGCAGGCCCGTTCAAGTGTGAAGATTTGTTGCACTGCGTTGTGAATGCACTCTGTTGTGGATGTGTCCGTGCGCGTGGACGCGACTTGAGAAGAAGCCGCCGAATGCTCTCTGCGGATCCAAGGACTACGTGAAGATAGTGGGCTGGCTCACAGCTGTTGGCCTTGCCCTCTTGGGCTGCATCCTCTTCTGTGCCTGGTTCCTTCATGCTGCCTTTCCGGGCTTGGCGTTCGGCTTGGCCCTCACGGCAGCCCAGCTCGAATAGCAAGCGAAACAACATCGTGCCATGTGCGCACATGCAACACGCCGCCATTGAAATGCAGGTGCTGAAGTCGATGTGTGCCAGGGGCCCCTTTGGGCTGGCGACGGCTGGCCAGGAAGCATGCTGTGAGGATGAGGATGAGGAGGAGACCTGGTGGTAGCAGTTTAGGATAGAGGTCGCTGCACGTGGCGCAGAATCACGCGAAGTTCCTGTTACATCTGGTAGTCCTGGTGTAGAGGAGCACTCGCGCCACTCGACTGACCGCGCTCATTTCCTTTGGATCTGCTATCGTGCGGACTACGACGCGAACGTTCGGACCTTGGGGTCTGAGAGTTGAGGGCCGAGTTGAGTAGCAGATGGGCACGATCGTTTGTATGACTGCATGGTCTAACGTCCTGTCGGCCGCTCAGGTGTTCATGAACAAGGAGGTCCACAAAGAACATTTGGACCAACTTGAGTCAAGACTACACACCGTGTCCCAAAACGTCGAGAAGTGGGGTGAGGAGGCTTCGTGGCAGCGCCTGGATTTGCTTGTAGATTTGTCGTGTTCGTGCGCACAATCCGGTCTGAACCTCCTCAGTGTGTTCAAACCAGGGCACAACAACGTTTAGCGAGGGCAGTCTTTGCGTGGTACAGTCAGGCAAAAAAGCCAGACCATTGAGTGAGATACTGCAACTGGTCATGGGAGCTCTTGAAGTTTTTTTCATTCCAGCAGCCCAACATCAGAAAACAAACATGCACAGACAGCGAGAAGTGTCCAAGCTGGCGATCTCCGAGAATGGTCGTGTCATGCTGAAGAAGTCGTCATAGTCGTCGTGGTGGTGGGTGGTGGCAAAAGTCCTACCATGTCCTACCCCAAGCTGCTGGAATATGCCTGCCGTTTGCGCACGGAGGTCACGAACATCACCCAGATTCTGGGGGTTCTTAATGACTCGGTGAAGCGCCTGGAAGCCCGGCTGATCTGCACGCCACAGGCGCGGTCACCAGAAATGTCGGACAGTCGTACCTTTCAGTGTCTTGCTTGCACACGTATGCGTCACGTGGTTCAGAGTCTGCCTCTTCATAGAAAGAGCCTGTATTCTGCCTGTGCACGAAAAGATTTGTGCCAAGAAGACGGGTCATGCACTGCGACGCATGAAGCCATCTTGGGAGGCGGCAGCTACCCCAATGAGTGCGGTGCCCGACCCCAGCGGCCTCTTTCGTGCGTCCTCGGTGCCGCACGCCACGCGGAGGCGTGGAGGAAACGCACAAGCAAACCTCCTTGCATGCAAAGCACCAGGTCATTCCAAGTCTATATCCGGTTGTTTGGATTGTCTTTCGCCGATCTTTCTGTGTCGACTGCCTCGCAAGTTGGACCAAGCCTTGGAGAGAATTCATGAGAAGGCATGTTAAGCCTGTTAAGCCTAACTTGGGCCGGGATTCTCGCCAAGCACGCCCCAATTTAGTCAATTCTTGCAGGCCGTCGTACTTCCGTCGCATGGGCAGTCTGTGCCGTGGCTAAGCAATCCAACACGCGGCTGCGGCTTCGATTTCGTTTGGGAACCATGTGCTCCTTGGCATTTTGCAGTGGCACTTCCCCAAGGCCTAGCAGCCACGGAGGGGATAGCACATCGATGGATACCTCTTTTCGGCCCAGTTCGGCAGGACCTCCTTCGGTTGCTTGCTTGCCTTTTTTCTTTTTTCCCCCGAGTCGCCGTTTTGCTTCTGAGCTCCCGCAGGGCAGACGTGACGAACCGGGACCATCCCTGGCTTGCTGACAAGCGAGCTGAGCGAGTTTGAGCTGATGATGCGCTGGTTGTGCTTTTGATGCAGCACAAGAAGTGCTGCAGCATGTGGTAGTCGTTTCCTTCCAGGGTGGAGTCCGCCGTGGTGGAGCCTGGCGAAGTCGTCTTTAGGACGGTTTAGGGTTTAGGGTTTAGGGTTTAGGGTTTAGGGTTAGTTTAGGACAAGTGTCGCAAGCCATCGGAACTCATCGGCTGTCTGGCCCCTTCAAAAACCTCCATCCCGGAGCCCCCAAAAGATCCGCGGCAGCAAAGATCCTGCCGAGGTTGGCCGTTTCCTGGTTCGGGCAAGCTGAAACAGCTTGACCTCAGAGCCCAAAGAACTCGCACCTGACGAGAGGCGGCCTGATGGGCGTTAGAAACCAAGTGAGCGCCCGGCTTGCTGTCTAGGACTCCTGAAGCCCTAACCCCTAGCGCGTTATGCTGCTTCTGAGGGCCGCACAAAACAAAAAAAACCCTATACTGCTTGTGAGAAGCCAAGTGTTTCCTGAGAGCAGATCTGAGAGCCTTGGGGAGGTGCCGGATCCCTCCCAAGACTCCATGCAGGGATCCGGCCCCGCAATGGCTTCAAGGCTTCAAGTGGGTGCCCTCGTCCAGGCCATGGCAAAATGAAGATGATCATTCCCAGTGCGTTGCGTGATGCAGAAATATGGCTTCTTTCTTCTTAAGGGCCACATAAAAAATTTGCTTGAGTTGAAGGACACGAGCAGAGACCAAGACGCCCAGAGTGTGAACGAATCAGGAAGTTGTTGTTCCTCTGCGACTCGTGTTCCTACAAAGGATGCTTGCAGAACCCAAGTTCGTGGTAACAAGCTTAAGCGAAGGATGTGCAGTGTCACAGCGCCTGTCAAGACGCGAGTGGGGGTCACAAGCTCAAACGTTGCCCTTTACGTGCTGTGTGTCATGCGGTGGGTAGATTGACAGCCTATAGAAGCCCTTTGCAGCATTGGCACGTGTTGCTCCAGATTTTGCTTCCCAGAGCCAATGTGAAAAGAGGGGCATGTGGGGGATTTGACCAGATGGGAATGTTCACATGTGCCGTATTGTGCCGTGGTGCGAGATGTCATCCACCCACAGTCTCTTTTGGTGGGTGAGACCAAAATCTCGGGACGTGGGTTTCCAGATGACCAAGTGAGTTGCATGGGTGAGAGAAAAGCTCGGGACGCGGATGCGAGAGCGGTGTTTCGAGGATTGCTGCGTCTAGGTTCCAAAAGCGAGGCAAGTTGCAGATCCAAAGCTGTACGTTTTTTTCGTCTGAAAGCGTCATGCGACACTCAGGCCACACTGCATGCGAAGCTGCCAAAACCCTGGACAAGTAGGAATTTCAGTGATTTGCAGATTTGCATGTAAAATCTAGTAACTCGTAGATTTGGAGGGTTGTAAATGCACAAAATGCTGACATTCCACTTTGGCAGTTTTGCATGTAGTGTTGAATGAAGGAGTGTCGCAAGAGTATGGCGTGAGTATTGCATGTGTGTGGCATGCATGTTGCGAAAAAAGGGTGATCGCAACCTTGGAGGCCAAGCCACCCATGTTGGACTCTGTGAGCCTCAGCATGCCTGGAAATTGCCTAGAAGCAAAGCACAAAGACCGCAGCAAAGGACAACACATGTTTGATTGAAGCACGTCCCGCAGCTCGAGTGGCATGCTGAAAGTCCGTCCATTGCCCAAGCCACCACGTTTCTTGTCAGCCGCAGGGAACAAAGAGAGAAGCGGGATTGCACAACTGAGATATAGACACGTTTTGGCGCTGTTCCGATTGACTTTCCGCCTCACTCTGGCTCCCTAGCGTGCGTGTTCAGGAAGGCTCCCATATCCAAGCAGGCATCCGGATGCGTCAAGCACGCCCAGAACTCCAGCTGTGCCATTGCCTGCAACAGCCTGCCGCGCCCCGACGGCAACGTGCCGGCGGTGCACCTGGTCCTGGAAGCGATCGATCATTTCGGAGGTGTTCGTTTGAGGCGAAGCGTGTTGCTGAAGAGAGCTTCCTAGTGGACCAATGCCTCCCGCCTATCCAACTGCTTGACCTGTTTGCCTGGGCTCGCAGCGGGATCCCGGGCGTGGCCTCGCGCAGCCCTCGCAGCCATGGCGCCGAAGTTCGACCCCAACGAAGTGAAGGCATCGGCCTCCGTGAGAAGAACCGCCTTTCTTGGCCTTTGTGTGCAAGCGTGTAACGAGTGCAATGTTTGGCCTGTGCCTGCGCCCGTGCAATCCTGTGAAGGTGGTGTTCCTCCGCCAGCACCGCAGCCGCAAGTTCTTCGCAAGATGTTGCACGCAATTTTGAAACTTCCTGGTCCGCCAGCCCCATGATCTCGAAGTGGATGGAAGTGGCCCAGGTATGGCGGTGAGCAGGCCCCGAGCTCTGTGCTGGCTCCAAAGGTTGGCCCGCTCGGAATGTCGCCCAAGAAGGCGCCGCGCGCTGCTGGATGTTTTATGCTCCCGTACGGGCACAGTCCTGGTGTGCCAGGTGGGGGACGACATCGTCAAGGGCACCAGCCAGTGGAAGGGGATCCGGGTGACGGTCAAGCTGACGATCCAAAACCGCGCGGCCAAGGCTTTACTCGGTGATCTCTGGAGCGTAGTCTCTGTTGCAATCTCTGTCGCAGTCTCTGTCGCAGCGGGAAACGTGCGTCGGAAGCGCCGTCTTGCTCCCATTCGTGGCAAGCACGAGGTGGACGTGGAGCCCAATGCGACCAGTCTCATCATCAAGGCATTGAAGGACAGAGTTGCAAGTTATGCATGCAGCAATGCAGCACTCTCACGCCAAGAGAGCCCCTGCAGCCGACAGGAGCCCCTTCGAGACCGACGCTTGCCTGCGCTTTGCCGCTACTGCTACGGTAGCCGCTACGACCTGAGCAACCGTCCATGTATCCGCAGCTTTCAAGGAAAGAAGACGAAGAACATCAAGCATAGTGGCAACCTCACAAAGAACGTCTTTCTGGACGTGGGGGGTGGTTGTGGGGGGGGGGGGCGTGCCAAGTCGGTTCTGCCAATGTTCTGCTGCATTCCGGTAACTACAAGAAGCAGCTGCAAGAGGCAGGTTCGGAAAGGTTCTGACACCCCCTCCACCCCTCCACCCCTCCACCCCTCCACCCCTCCACCCCTCCACCCCTCCACCCCTCCACCCCTCCACCCCTCCACCCCTCCACCCCTCCACCCCTCCACCCCTCCACCCTCCACCCCTCCATCCCCTCCAACCCTCCACCCCTCCACCCCTCACCCCTCCACCCCTCCACCCCTCCACCCCTCACACTCCCACCCTCCAACCCTCCAACCCCTCCACCCTCCACCCCTCCACCCCCTCCACCCCTCACCCCGTCCACCCTCACCCCTCCACCCCTCCACCCCTCCACCCACGCCACCCCCTCCCCCCTCCCCCCTCACCCCTCCACCCCTCCACCCTCCCCTCCACCCCTCCAACCCTCCACTTCCCTCACCCCTCCGCCCCTCCGCCCCTCCTCCGCCCCCTCCGCCCCTCCTCCGCCCCTCCATCCCACCTCCACCACCCCTCCACCACCCCTCCACACCCCTCCCCACCCCTCCACCACCCTCCAACCACCACCCTCCACCACCCCTCCAACCACCCCTCCACCAACCCTCCACACACCCCTCCACCCCCCCTCCAACCACCCCTCCCCACACCCCACCCACGCACACCACCCCACCACCCCTCCCCACCCTCCACCACCCCTCCACCACCCCTCCACCACCCCTCCACCACCCCTCCCACCACCCCTCCCCCCTCCACCCCTCCACCCCTCCACCCCGCCACCCCCCCCAACCCCACCCCCTCCACCCCTCCACCCCTCCACCCCTCCACCCCTCCACCCCTCCACCCTCCACCCCTCCACCCTCCACCCCTCCACCCCTCCCCCCTCCACCCCTCCACCCTCCACCCCTAACCACACCCCCACCCCCCGCCCCTATCGCCCCGCCGCCCCTCCCCCTCCACCCCTCCACCCCTCCACCCCACCCTCCACCCCCTACCCTACCACCCCCTCCCACCCCTCCCCCCTCACCCCCCTCCCCCCCTACCCCCTCCACCCCCCCTTCCGCCTCCACCCCCCTCCACCACCCCCCTCCACCTTCCTCCACCCCCCCCCCTCAACCCCCCTCCACCCCCCCTCCACCTAGGTTCTGTGCAGGTTCAGACATCGTTCGCGCTAATCGTGGTTGACGGAACTTCTTGGCTGTTGCTCGCAGGCTCAATACCACATGTGCTTCTGGTAGGACATTTGCCGCCAGATGCGAAAGAAAAGCTTGGCAAAGGAGTTCAAGGGCACGGCAAAGGAGACCCAGTGCCGAAGGAAGCAGTTGAGCAGGAGGTCAGCCAAGTCTCAGTTCGTGCAGGAGATCTTGGGCACCTGCTTCGCTGTCGGCTGCACTGTGGACGGCCAGAAGCCCATCGCCCTGCAAGAGGCCTGCTGTCGGGGATGGGGATGGTGTGGCAGCGACGTTGCCACAGCATGCCACAACAATCTCTAGCCATCGCACGTCATCGCACGTCATCTCAATCACGCCATCTCAAGTCATTTCAAGTCTCTCAAGTCTCTGAAGTCTCTGAAGTCTCTCAGCAGAGTCCATGTGAAGCTGAGGCTGTCCCCTCACAACACTTGCACTATGCACTGTTGTAGAGGCCATCGACAACGAGGAGTGGGAGCTGCCGGCTGAGTGAGCATCGCGAGGTGAGGTTTCGTTCGTGGTGGCATCCAATCAAACTCCTGAGCACAAAGCACTCACAACAAGCCATTCCCTGACGACTTAAGAGCTTTCAGCCAGTCGGTTTGTGCCCTTCATGCTGCGGGAGTCAATCGGCGCGAGGCAAAAGCTGGAGACCCACAAGCATCGTAGCGAAGACTAAGATGTGAGAGCAATATCGCGCAGTTCACAATCGTGATCGTCTGTTGTTATGGCATCGCAAAGCACCGTTCCGCCACTGAGCTAGTTTCAGGCTTCCTGATTTCTCCGCATTGATGGTGGGGCTTGGGTTGAGGCAGCTGCTTCATGGGCTGTTGGGCTCGCAGCGGGATCGCGTGGCCTCGCGCAGCCCTCGCAGCCATGGCGCCGAAGTTCGACCCCAACGAAGTGAAGGCATCGGCCTCCGTGAGAAGAACCGCCTTTCTTGGCCTTTGTGTGCAAGCGTGTAACGAGTGCAATGTTTGGCCTGTGCCTGCGCCCGTGCAATCCTGTGAAGGTGGTGTTCCTCCGCCAGCACCGCAGCCGCAAGTTCTTCGCAAGATGTTGCGCGCAATTTTGAATCTTCCTGGTCCGCAAGTCCGCCAGCCCCATGATCTCGAAGTGGATGGAAGTGGCCCAGGTATGGCGGTGAGCAGGCCCCGAGCTCTGTGCTGGCTCCAAAGGTTGGCCCGCTCGGAATGTCGCCCAAGAAGGCGCCGCGCGCTGCTGGATGTTTTATGCTCCCGTACGGGCACAGTCCTGGTGTGCCAGGTGGGGGACGACATCGTCAAGGGCACCAGCCAGTGGAAGGGGATCCGGGTGACGGTCAAGCTGACGATCCAAAACCGCGCGGCCAAGGCTTCACTCGGTGTCGCAGTCTTTTTCGCAGCAGGAAACATGTGCCACTAGCACGGTCTTCCTCCTATTCGTGGCAAACACCAGGTGGACGTGGAGCCCAATGCGACCAGTCTCATCATCAAGGCGTTGAAGGACAGAGTTGCAAGAGTAGACTCTCACACACAAAAAGATCGTCCCTGCCACAGGAGCCCCTTCGAGACCGACGCTTGCTCGCGCTTGTGCTACTTGTAGTGCTGCCGCTACTGCTACAGTAGCTGCTGATGCCTCAGCAATCGTCCATTCTTCCGCAGCTTTCAAGGAAAGAAGACGAAAAACATCAAGCATAGTGGCAACCTCACAAAGAATGTCTTTCTGGACGTGGGGGGTGGTGGGGGGGGGGGGGTCGTGCCAAGTCTGTTCTGCTAATGTTTCGGATAGGGTTTGATAGGTTGTGATAGGTTGTGATAAGTTCTGATAGGTTCTGTGCAGATTCAGACATCGTTCGCGCTAATCGTGGTTGACGGAACTTCTTGGCTGTTGCTCGCAGGCTCAATACCACATGTGCTTCTGGTAGGACATTTGCCGCCAGATGCGAAAGAAAAGCTTGGCAAAGGAGTTCAAGGGCACGGCAAAGGAGACCCAGTGCCGAAGGAAGCAGTTGAGCAGGAGGTCAGCCAAGTCTCAGTTCGTGCAGGAGATCTTGGGCACCTGCTTCGCTGTCGGCTGCACCGTGGACGGCCAGAAGCCCATTGCCCTGCAGGAGGTCTGCCGTCGGGGATTGTGTGGCAGAGACGTTGCCACAGCATGCCACAACAATCTCTAGTCATCGCACGTCATCGCAAGCCATCGCAAGTCATCTCAAGTCTTCTTAAGTCATCTCAAGTCATCGCAAGTCGAAGTCTCTCAGCAGAGTCCATGTGAGGCTGAGGCTGTCCGGACAGCATGTGCTGTGAGGTCTGTCAGGTCTCACAACACTTTCAGTAAGCACTGTTGTAGAGGCCATCGACAATGAGGAGTGGGAGCTGCCGGCTGAGTGAGCATCGTGCGGTGGAGTCTCAGCCCTTTAGTGCCCCCCAGCACAAGTCCAAGGCCTTTTCAAACTATGCACTCCACAACTCTCGACTCACTAGATCGGACCTTCCCTGACGACCCTTCTGGTCAGACATTTAGAGGAAGTCAGACTGCGCGAGGCACAAAAGTGTGTATCCTGCAGTGTGTGTGGACTCGGACACGCAATGCTTCTGTATGATGGGGGATGATGGGCACGCGTTTGCCAGGCCTAGCCAGCTTGTCTCAGATGGCACAGCCGTGACTCTGCCAAATTGACAAGAGGGACAAACGATTGCGCAAGTCGTTCCTCTCACGTCATATCATATCTCTTAATTCAAATTCAGAAGTGCCAGCTGCTTGAAATGGTTTGTGTTTTCGGCCAGAATCGCCGAGCTTGGACCCTCAGCTGAAACTGCTAAGACAGAGCCCATGAGCCAACACTCTGAGGAGTCGGCCAGCAAGTCTGCCAGCTGAGTATTTTTGTGGACGCGGTTTGCCTTGCATGCTTGGTCGACTCGGCAGAGACACCCGGTTCAAGACCGAAATGCTGCATCATGTGGAGGGCAGATGGTGCAACGATGTGCAGCATACCAAGGCAAGCAGAGACCCATGTGTATAAATTGATGAGCTTGCCGCCAAGATTCCTGCCGACCTTGAACTCGCTTCACGCCATGGCGCTGCGATGGTGACCGAGAGGACATTCGCGGTGAGTGGCAGCTGGGCACGGTGAGGTCGCGCGACGTGGTAGAGATCGCACAGGTCAAAGGTCAGAGGTGTGCGCGCAGCTGCACCCATTGTGATTTAACAAACATATGAGTAAGTGCCGGTTTGACAAGTTGCGACGGGTTTGTTAACACATCCCGAGTCAAGTAGGCAATCAGTAGCTTGGCAAGGCAGCTTCCACTTCGATCTCGAGTAGGCTCACGGCCCGACGGCAATGCCAACGTTGGCTCTCGTGCCCCATTTGGGCTGGCACTTGCGCTACGAGATGCACATCGTGGATCTTTCAGAGGTGCCTCCGAAATGGCAGTCTCAGAGAGAGAGGCCTGGCACGTCTCAGAATCCCTTGCCCACACAGCGCTTCTTGTGCATTAACGAGCTGCCCCTTCCCCCTTTGCCCTAGGGATTTGCAGGGATATGCAGGGATATGTAGGGATATGTAGGGATATGTAGGGATATGTAGGGATATGTAGCGATATGTAGGGATATGTAGGGGTGGGGAGGGGGCTTCCGGTCCGGAGGCCCTTACAGCTTTGCTTCGCGACCGCTCTGCGTCTCCCAAGAGCCAAGCCAAAGCAGTGCCTCGGTTCCGAGAAATTCGGAGTTGGCGGTCGGTTTTCACACGATTTCAAGGTCAGAGTAAAACTGATGCCCCCCTGAAACACTTTCTTGCCGTTGAGCTGACTGCTCAGGTGGCCACATTGTCCCAAAATGGCTGGATTCGGACTACGCGACAGTACTCCTGGCGGCATAATATGACTGGCTTTTTCAAGACTCGGAGGTTTGTCGCCTGTACTTTCCTGCTGGGGACATCGGCGATGCAGGGGACTGTCGACCTCAAATGGGGTATACTGTATACTTCTATGCGTTAGTAGAGTTATTGATTCACATTATAAGGGCTTACAAAATGCATGAAGTGCTGCTTAGAAGCTCACGTCCGTTCTGCCCCCAGGTATGCGGTAGCCATCGCCGCCTTGGCAAGAGCTGGTGATTGGCAGAGTGCGCTGGATCTACTCTTTCAGATGGTCAAGAGCGAGCTCGACCCAGACACTTGGCACATCTTGCACTTTAAAGACTTTGAGCCTGCCAGTATCCTGTCTGCCCCCCGAGTATGCGCGGGATCGTTTGAGATTAGGAGTCTTACAGCTGCATCTCAGCTCCTTTTTTGGTTCTAACAGCGACTAGCTGGTACTTGTGCTTGCAAGTCAGGACCCCAAACCTTTTGGTGCTGCCATCAATGCCTGCTCCAAATCCAGCCAGTGGAAGCATGCAAGTGCACTTCTTGAAGTAGCAGAAGCAGCTGAAGTGAGCATGGGGCCAATTGGCGTGAACACGGTCATGGGCGCCTGTTCCCGAAGCCAGAAGTGGAGAGAGGCCCTCCACCTCTTCAGCACGGCTACAGCTCCCGATCTGACAACCTTCAATACGGCGATCGCGGCATGTGCACGAGCAAAGAGCTGGCAACAGTCTCTGCTGCTGCTTGAGGACATCCCACGGCGAAAGTTGGCCCGTGACACCTTCAGCTTCAACTCTGCCATGAGTGGGCTGGCTGGGAGCCGGTGGGTGGCTGGGATAGCTCTCTTGGAGCTCATGGTATCAGAGCAGGTTGCACCGGATACCGTGACCTACAACTCCCTGATGGATGTCGCTCCTCAGAAAGCTCCGGAGATCTTCAGACAGATGCTTCGCGAGGAGGCAGCTCGATCTTTCCTTTCGCTCTCACTCTGCTTAGGTTGCGGCGGATTTGCAAGTTCTTCCCTGCTTGACACTCCTAGGTGAGACCAACGGTCATCAGCTTCAACACCGTCATTGCTTCATTTGCTGCGTCCTCCCACACATCCAGAAATCAACAAGAAGCCCTGCATTTGTTACAGGACCGGCCCGGGATCGGGGACGGGCGAGTGGATGTTTTGTGGGCTAGCCTGATCGCTAATGATGACCCCTGATGGTCAGCGCCGGTGCTCTCAACAGGTAAGTGCGTTGAGCGGCCTCTGTAAGATTCGAAGTGCTTTCCGGTTAACATCAACAATGAGAAGGACATGGAGAGATGGCGCCTTGTGCCGAACTTGATCACGTTCAACAGCTGCATCGTGGCATGCGGCGACTGGCAGCAAGCGCTGGCAATGCTTGAAGCGCTTGAGGACCAGTGCCTCGCCAAGGATCGCACTGGAAGGTACCCAGTAGGACATGCAGTAGGACATGTTTTCGTACACTGTGTCGAAGGGCCTGAGAAGCCTGTAGAGGCGAAGCCGCGGTCTGGTGGTCATCGACGGTCCTCGTTTCTCGTTGTTCCCGTTGGCTGAGGCGGCTGACTGCGGACACGATCACCTTCAACAGCCTGCTGCGCGCCGCCGACGGCAACCTGCCGGCGGTGCACATGATCCTGGAAGCGATGTGCTGCCGCAGGCATCGCGATCATTTCGGAGATGTTAGCTTCAGGTGGGGAAGAATTTTGGTGTATGGTCTTTGGGAGAGCTTCGAAGTCGACCAATGCCTCCCGCCTATCCAACTGCTTGACCTGTTTGCCTGGGCTCGCAGCGGGATCCCGGGCGTGGCCTCGCGCAGCCCTCGCAGCCATGGCGCCGAAGTTCGACCCCAACGAAGTGAAGGCATCGGCCTCCGTGAGAAGACCCGCTTTTCTTGGCCTTTGTGTGCGATCGTGTCATGCGTGCCATGTCTGGCCTGTGCCTGCGCCCGTGCAATCCTGTGAAGGTGGTGTTCCTCCGCCAGCACCGCAGCCGCAAGTTCTTTCGCGGAATGTTGCGCGCAATTTTGAAACTTCCTGGTCCACAAGCCCCATGATCTCGAAGTGGATGGGGGTGGCCCAGGTATGGCGGTGAGCAGGCCCCGAGCTCTGTGCTGGCTCCGAAGGTTGGCCCGCTCGGAATGTCGCCCAAGAAGGCGCCGCGCGCCACTGGATGTTTTGTGCTCCCTGACAGATACAGGCGCTGGTGTGCCAGGTTGGGGACGACATCGTCAAGGGCACCAGCCAGTGGAAGGGGATCCGGGTGACGGTCAAGCTGACGATCCAAAACCGCGCGGCCAAGGCTTCACTCGGTGTCGCAGTCTTTTTCGCAGCAGGAAACATGTGCCACTAGCACGGTCTTCCTCCTATTCGTGGCAAACACCAGGTGGACGTGGAGCCCAATGCGACCAGTCTCATCATCAAGGCGTTGAAGGACAGAGTTGCAAGAGTAGACTCTCACACACAAAAAGATCGTCCCTGCCACAGGAGCCCCTTCGAGACCGACGCTTGCTCGCGCTTGTGCTACTTGTAGTGCTGCCGCTACTGCTACAGTAGCTGCTGATGCCTCAGCAATCGTCCATTCTTCCGCAGCTTTCAAGGAAAGAAGACGAAGAACATCAAGCATAGTGGCAACCTCACAAAGAATGTCTTTCTGGACGTGGGGGGGAGTGTGTGGCCACGAATGTTGCGGGGCAAAGCCGGTTCTTCTAGATGCCGGTGGCTCAAAAGGAGGTAGGTGCTGGCAGGTTCTGTGCAGATTCAGATAGCTTTCACGCTGCTTGTGGGGGCTCGCACGCTCAATACCACATTGAGCCTCTGACGGCAGGACATCTGCCGCCAGATGCGCAAGAAAAGCTTGGCAAAGGAGTTCAAGGGCACGGCAAAGGAGACTCAGTGCCGAAGGATGCAGTTGAGCAGGAGGTCAGCCAAGTCTCAGCTTGTGCAGGAGATCTTGGGCACCTGCTTCGCTGTCGGCTGCACCGTGGACGGCCAGAAGCCCATCGCCCTGCAGGAGGCCTGCCGTGGGGGCTGGTTTGACAGAGACGTTGCCACACCATGCCACAACAATCTCAAGCCATGTCAAGTCTCTTGCAGGGTTCATGTGGGGCTGTCCCAGCATGTCCCGGACAGTGTCAGCTTACACAATGATTTTACTAGGACTAGGCACTGTTGTAGAGGCCATCGACAACGAGGAGTGGGAGCTGCCCTCTGAGTGAGCCTCGCACGGTGGAGTCTCAGCCGTCTCAGTACCACCAGCCCAACACAAAAGACCACAAGAAAGACGATAGCTTTGCAAAGCTTTCCCCCAGCGCCTGTATTGGAGGAAGTCGGACTGCGCGAGGTAAAAATCAGCTGTGCTGTGTTCAGCTAGCAGCTTGGGGGCGAAAAGGGGGAGAGGCAAACGCAGTCGCCTCCCATGTAGCAGATCGATCTCTCAGGGGCAAGAGGCGGTTGGACCTCAAGCTAAGTGTGTTGAATCTGCCCGAAAGCCTACGTTTGGCAGGCTGAAGCCCGATCTCCTGAGCTGCAGCAGCGCCATTGCTGCATGCACTTCGGGAGGCCGCCTTGAGAAGCAAGGAGCGACTCCTGTTAAACCCCGACCCCCCCCCCCCCCCACCCATAGTAATTATTAAAGAATCCCAATTTTGTTATGTTGTAGTATATTTGGGGGGTAGTCAAGATTAGGGGGTACAGACTTCAGGAAGGCTTGTAAAAGGGGGTACCGGGGGGCAGAGGGGTTCAATATTCGGGGGGAGGGGATTCAATAATAACCCTAAACCCTAAACCCTAAACCCTAAACCCTAAACCCCAAACCCCAAACCCTAAACCCTAACCCCTAAACCCTAAACCCCACCATGCCGTTGCAGGCCTGTGGGCGGCAGCTCTGGATTTCTTGGCGCAAGTTCCAGGATGGCACCTCACTTGCTTGGAGGTTCATGGGTCGCTATAACTGGGGATTCTAAGTGGGACAACTATGGTTCTAAGTGGTTCTAACCTTATCTAGGGTACTTATAATCCTACTTACAACTACCCATGAACTTTCAAGTACAGGTTTGATGCGTTAGGGTCTTGGAGCCGCAACGGGTTGAAAGGACATCCGGACGTGCCGGTGATGAATGCCGCGATGACGGTGTGCGCAGAGGTCCAGGGCGACCTGCTGTTGTAGGGAGAGGGTTTAGGGTTTAGGGTTTAGGGTTCAGGGTTCAGGGTTCAGGGGAGAAAGTCCCCAAAGCTGACCAGCTCGGGGGGTTCCTCCTCTATTGTAGGCTGGAGAGTGGGAGCGAGCGCTGCTGCTGCTTCATCAGCTCGAAGCCCGGAGTGCCAAATGCCCGAAGCATTCATCTTACCTCGAGCCTGTTGGCGACGCCTGTGTGGTGACTTTTTCACCCGAGGTTTCGCCTACATCATCTGGCTCCGGACGTCGTCAGCTTCAACTCTGTCATGACGGCGTGCGAGAATGGTCAGCAGTGGGCCGCCTTCTCAGAGAGGGTTGGTCCCCGGTTCGAGTTCCAATCTTTGTCCAGCTTGGGTGCTTTCCAGGTGCGTGTGCGCATGAGGCAGCGGAAAGGGCGCTGCGAATATGGCGAAGCGTTGTACGTATCACATGCTTTTCTTGCCCCCACTTAGATTCCTGGATCCGCCCAGGATTTGGCTGTCTGGCTCCTTCAAGACCTTCGCGCCTCTGCCCCAGCAGGGGGGGGGGGGGGGGGGGGGGGGGGGGGCGAGGCAGCCTGCTTCAAGGTGCGTGAGTTCCCTGTCTCGCGCTGGCCCTTTGCTTTTGTCTGCTCGCATTTGCTTTCAGGCTCGCCGCCTTCGGCCATCCCTGATCAGCTACAGCTCTGCAGCAAGCGCCTGTGAGAGACTTCGACGCACCATGAAGGCATTCGGTGATGCACTGTCTAGCAAGCTTCCAAGAAGCTTACCTCCAGGAAGGCAAAGCAGTGGATGCAAGCGGTGAGCTTGCTCCTCACCCTTCAACAGTCTGGGCTGCAAGCCGATGATATCGCCTTCAACACGGAAGCTCAGCTGCAAGGGGGGCTCCGGGTAGAGTATTGTTATTAATGTTGTTAATAGTATTAACATGATTCATATCTTAATACTACTATTATTAGTATTAGTTATATTATTGTTTTGGTAGCACTCCGCCGCGGCCAAAAGGTCACGAGCGCTTGTGGCCATGGGCGACAGTGGAAGAAGGCCATTGTGGCACCATGCGGCACAAGAGCGTTTCTTTTGTTACAGAACGGCTTGGGGATTGTAACTATAATAATAATAATAATAGTAATAATAATAATAATAATAATAATAATAATAATAATAATAATAATAATAATAATAATTGGAATAATAGCAATAATAATAGTAATTCAGCATGGACCTCCAGTTGTCATCATTGCATGGTGCCGAACCCCGCCGCGATGGCACGGCCGTCAGGCGCTGGGCATTCTGCAACTCCGGGAGGTTCACGGGCTCCCCTGGGAGCTGGTCACCTGAGCCCTGGCAAAACAGAAAGGGTTTAGGGTTTAGGGTTTAGGGTTTAAGGTTTAGGGTTTAGGGTTTAGGGTTTAGGGAGGGCCTTCTTTGTGGCGCGTGGCAGCATCTCGCTCAGCTCGAGGGCCCGAATCCAGAAGTCCAATCGAACCGAGGCAACGCAGCCATATCTGCATGTGCTGCTGGTCTCGCGACTGCTGCAGCCGTGGCGTTTCTGGGAAGGAAGGGGGGGCGTGAAAGCTCGAAGACATGCCACGTAACATCGTCGGCCTGCCGCATCGGCGGATACGCTTAGTGCACGCAAGGTCTGGCAGCATTGCAGCACACGCATCTCCTATGAACAAGTCGGGTGCAGAAGAGCAGTCGATCTCTTGCCGCCGTATGCAGTGCCCCTGCAATGCCCTCCCTGAGCACAGGCTCCGAACTGCGCAGCTGGAACCCAGCGCAGTGACCTGGAATTCCCTGCGCCTTGGTCCTTGCTCAGCATGTTGCGGCGTCGCGACCCCTCACTGGCCCACTACTGGCCCACTGGCCCAAATACTTCTGTCCCTCGGCCCTGGCTCTTCGAGTGATCTCCCAGTCTTGAGGATGGAGGCCTGCGGGGATACGTGGCGGCTGAGTGTCGATCTGTGTCCTGGCAGACCTGGTCACCTGCGAACAATAATGGTCAGCTCCCCTTTGGTGTCCTTCTCAACCCACATGGCCCAAAGTGGCTTTCAGCTGCGATCCGAGGTTGAGGGAGATGGAAGAGCAGCAGTCCGAAATAGACATTCTGGCGCTGGCTTCCGTGGTGTCATCTCTGCGCCAAGGCAAGGGAAGGACTTTCATGTTCAAAAAGTAGTAGGTCACAAGTGTCTCAAGCTCGGCCTTACCTTAAAGCGTCGCAGATGCCCAAGGTTGTAGATTGCGCACTTGTCCCGGAATGTACCTGTATACTTGCTTACTGATCGACTCCCAGAGTTTCTAGACATCCCAAACCTAAACTGGCTGGTTTTTAGTAGGGAATGAGGGAATGAGGTACTGTATATAATCCCTTAAAGGGTACCTATCTACCTATCTATCCATCTATAAATAAATAAATATAATATATATATATATGTGTGTACATATATATATATATAGGGAGAAAGGGCCCTCCTTCATTTCCTACTAAGAACCAGGGGGGGTCTTCCTTGCCTCGTTTGACTCTCACAGGCCGCGCAGGCCGCATGCTGGCCCTCCGCTTGGAGGTACCCCCCCTGCATGCACTCACTGTGGGTTTAGGGTTTAGGGTTTAGAGTTTTGGGTTTAGGGTTTGGGGTTTAGGGGTATACACGGGTGCCCTTCTTGGGGATTCCCAAAGGTAAGCCTGTACCGTGGATGATAGAAATCGTGTTGTGGGGGGATGTTCGATATTCGGGGGAGCCATGTTTTGTTGGGAAATGTACATGCTATACGTGTGCTTCTCTGTGCAGACTCAACAATGCAGGATGCTGTTGCGCAGACAAGTTTCTCGAAGTTCATGCAGCTGTAGCCCTGCCTGTCAAGGACCTGCGCGCGAGCACTCTGTGTCGAAGTCGCTTGCTCGCTCGGGCAAATGGCAAAAATTGCGGGCAATTGAGGGCCTATGGCAGTGCCGCAGAAATGAAGGGCTTTGCCTTGACACTTGTAGACTTTCATTTGCTTACTTCGTGCTACTCCTCTTACGTGTTGCATCGGGTTGGACAGGCTTTCGAATCTAGCGCGTGCTAATGAATAGCTTAACCCAAGCTTCGCTATCTTACACTCATCTAAACTGAAAGAGTTGCCGACGACGATGAACGTGCACAAGGGATAGACGGAACTTGTCTCCTGACTCTGCCGCATGTCACATGCAGTACCAATACAAGGAAGTGTTTGGCTCAAGCTGTTGATCGAGAGGCTCCACAGCTTGGGCCTTGCCCCGTTCAACGTAGTCTCAGCACGATGTTTGCAGTTTGGGTCGGCCTCCTCGCTGTGAGGGTCCTGCACGCTGCCCACCTCCGAAGCAACGTGCCACCTCCGCGTTGAGACTTTTTATGAGGCCTGGAGCAGGGTCCCTGTGGGCCGGTGCGTCCCGCCGCAGGTATCGCATGCCGCTGCCCAGACGACTGAAATCAGATCCTTCTACCAAGCTGAGCCTCAGTGCCAGTGTGCCCCTTGACTCAGCACTGAGGGTTCAGCACGCTTCCCTTTTTGGCTACCCGGCTACCCCTCTCCTGTAATCACCCCTGTGACCATAGCGACCAGAGAACATGGAGTCTTCAGTTGAGCCGCCGTGCCGTCAATGTTGCCCCAGAGTAGAGCTAGCAAGAGCTACTGTAGCTGCTGGCCGCTGGGCTGGCATTAGGCGGGTGTTCATACATCCGTGTCGGCGCTTTTTGACCGTGAGGTGGCGAACAATCCGGCATGGAAGAAGACGCAGCGTACCGAACCCAAGTGCATCTTCATTGACCTGGGCGCGGCAGATGGGAACACCTTTGCCAAATTCTTGGAGAGCCACGGCCTACTCGAAGTATGGGTCAGGCTTCTTATTTCGACACACTTGTACCTCTATCCAAGCAGTCCTGGTGTCCAGGAACGACTACGGTCGGGTGAAGGACTGCCCATCCGGCAAGTGGGAGGCCTTTCTGCTGGAGGCCGGTGAGGTGCAAAAGTGAAAGAGTCCATTATTGCCTGAAACCCTTGAGTGCCCGACACCTCGCTGACTGCAAAAAATAGCGAGCCGGGCGCGCTTCATAGTCGTCGTGAATCAGGATTCGTGACCCGGAGTAGGTGCCCAGTTGCATCTCAATGTTGACATGAGCGAGGCGAACCCCCAGTTCACGAAGGAGCTTTCCTCGCTGTCGGAGAACTTTCCTGGCCAGGCAGACGGGGCCGAAAGCAACAAACCTGATGATCTGAGCATGGCTGCATCACAGGAAATGCTTGCAAGAAACACCTCTCCAAGCCCCTCCTCCACAAGCAGGTTCATTCGCTGGCGGAGCACGCCGCCTTCTCGTGCGAGGTGGCAGTCGAACCTGCTCATGCTCGGTGAAAGTTGGCCCATGTCTTTCTCCCGTGCTTGCGCAGGGCACGACCAGCTTCTTCATCGACAAAGATGCCACCCACAACCACTGGGGCTCCAGCATGATGTCAGACGCGCCTGGGTGCCATTACCGCTTCGGCCATTCATTTCCGCTCGCTTGCTTGGCTGTGCAACCCAGGCCCCCGATGCCGTCAAGAGCGGCGAGGTCAAGGTTACCGTCCCGATGACCAATGTGGTGCAGCTGCCTTTCGCCTCATCGTTGATGGTCGCGATGTCTTGTCGTGTCTCTGCGCGCGGGGCGCGTGTGTATGTGTGTGTGCGCGCGTTTTCTGAGCTCGGATCCTTTAGTGGGTAAGACACCTGTTTCAGCCGAACTTGGTTGCAAGGATTGCTGAGAACGTGCTGCCGGAGGACTGGGTGATGCTGAAGGTTGACATCGAAGGGGCGGAATACAACTTCATCCCTTGCCTGGCACAGTCCAGCGCCACGGCATGTCATAAAAACCCGGCCGATGCTGTTTATGAGAGCTTCCAGAGCTTCCCTACACCCGCCTGGCCCTGTAGTGGTGAGCTTGCCGAGATCGCCAAGGTGAGGCAAGCCTCGTGGACAGGATGTACTTGGAAGAGCACTGGTGGTTCCCTTCCATCACTGCTGCTTTGCTGGCATCTCCATGTTGCTTCCATGCTTTTTTTCGTGACAGCCTCTAGACTCCGGGGGGGCAGACCCGTAAGCAACAAAGCACTGCAAGGAGACGGACAAAGCTGCCCTGGCCGAAGCCAAGAAGCAGCTGGTGAGCAAGAAAGTGGACATCCCGAACTACTACTCCGAGACCTGAGCTCTCTCCCCCCCTGTCCACACCATCGCGCACCGAGAGAGCGCCCAGCGCTCGGCCGAGGCTGCTATAGCCTATAGGAAGAAAAAGCGGAGACTCGTTGATCCGTCTGCGGCAAGCTTCTCTGGTTGCATGAAGGAGGAGGGTTCCGTTGGCATGAAGCTTGTTTGTTTGAGACGCCTGAGAAATTTGCCGCTGCTTTGCACTGAGAGATTGCAGGTTTGCAGCAACTATCTGACTGAGTCTGACTTGAACATGGCTGTGCAAAGGGACGTTTTTGGCTCAAGCTGTTGATCAAGAGGCTCCACAGCTTGGGCCTTGCCCCGTTCAACGTAGTCTCAGCACGATGTTTGCAGTTTGGGTCGGCCTCCTCGCTGTGAGGGTCCTGCACGCTGCCCACCTCCGAAGCAACGTGCCACCTCCGCGTTGAGACTTTTTATGAGGCTTGGAGCAGGGTCCCTGTGGGCCGGTGCGTCCCGCCGCAGGTATCGCATGCCGCCGCCCAGACGACTGAAATCAGATCCTTCTACCAAGCTGAGCCTCAGTGCCAGTGTGCCCCTTGACTCAGCACTGAGGGTTCAGCACGCTTCCCTTTTTGGCTACCCGGCTACCCCTCTCCTGTAATCACCCCTGTGACCATAGCGACCAGAGAACATGGAGTCTTCAGTTGAGCCGCCGTGCCGTGCACTTTCACCTCGCATGTTTCTGAAGTCGTCAATGTTGCCCCAGAGTAGAGCTAGCAAGAACTACTGTAGCTGCTGGCCGCTGGGCTGGCATTAGGCGGGTGTTCATACATCCGTGTCGGCGCTTTTTGACCGTGAGGTGGCGAACAATCCGGCATGGAAGAAGACGCAGCGTACCGAACCCAAGTGCATCTTCATTGACCTGGGCGCGGCAGATGGGAACACCTTTGCCAAATTCTTGGAGAGCCACGGCCTACTCGAAGTATGGGTCAGGCTTCTTATTTCGACACACTTGTACCTCTATCCAAGCAGTCCTGGTGTCCAGGAACGACTACGGTCGGGTGAAGGACTGCCCATCCGGCAAGTGGGAGGCCTTTCTGCTGGAGGCCGGTGAGGTGCAAAAGTGAAAGAGTCCATTATTGCCTGAAACCCTTGAGTGCCCGACACCTCGCTGACTGCAAAAAATAGCGAGCCGGGCGCGCTTCATAGTCGTCGTGAATCAGGATTCGTGACCCGGAGTAGGTGCCCAGTTGCATCTCAATGTTGACATGAGCGAGGCGAACCCCCAGTTCACGAAGGAGCTTTCCTCGCTGTCGGAGAACTTTCCTGGCCAGGCAGACGGGGCCGAAAGCAACAGACCTGATGATCTGAGCATGGCTGCATCACAGGAAATGCTTGCAAGAAACACCTCTCCAAGCCCCCCCTCCACAAGCAGGTTCATTCGCTGGCGGAGCACGCCGCCTTCTCGTGCGAGGTGGCAGTCGAACCTGCTCATGCTCGGTGAAAGTTGGCCCATGTCTTTCTCCCGTGCTTGCGCAGGGCACGACCAGCTTCTTCATCGACAAAGATGCCACCCACAACCACTGGGGCTCCAGCATGATGTCAGACGCGCCTGGGTGCCATTACCGCTTCGGCCATTCATTTCCGCTCGCTTGCTTGGCTGTGTAACCCAGGCCCCCGATGCCGTCAAGAGCGGTGAGGTCAAGGTTACCGTCCCGATGACCAATGTGGTGCAGCTGCCTTTCGCCCCATCGTTGATGGTCGCGATGTCTTGTCGTGTCTCTGCAGGTGTGTGTTTGTGCGCGAGTTTTCTGCGCTCGGATCGTTTAGTGGGTTAGACACCTGTTTCAGCCGAACTTGGTTGCAAGGATTGCTGAGAATGTGCTGCCGGAGGACTGGGTGATGCTGAAGGTTGACATCGAAGGGGCGGAATACAACTTCATCCCTTGCCTGGCACAGTCCAGCGCCACGGCATGTCATAAAAACCCGGCCGATGCTGTTTATGAGAGCTTCCAGAGCTTCCCTACACCCGCCTGGCCCTGTAGTGGTGAGCTTGCCGAGATCGCCAAGGTGAGGCAAGCCTCGTGGACAGGATGTACTTGGAAGAGCACTGGTGGTTCCCTTCCATCACTGTTGCTTTGCTGGCATCTCCATGTTGCTTCCATGCTTTTTTCCGTGACAGCCTGTGGATTGCAGGGGGCAGACTCGCAAGAAACAAAAAGCACTGCAAGGAGACGGACAAAGCTGCCCTGGCCGAAGCCAAGAAGCAGCTGGTGAGCAAGAAAGTGGACATCCCGAACTACTACTCCGAGACCTGAGCTCTCTCCCCCCCTGTCCACACCATCGCGCACCGAGAGAGCGCCCAGCGCGCGGCCGAGGCTCCTATAGCCTATAGGAAGAAAAAAGCAGAGACTCGTTGATCCGTCTTCGCCGGTCTTTCTACCACCAGCTTCTCTGCGTTGAGTACAGTTGGGGAACTCAACAGACTATAGAGTTTGACTTTTGTGCAACACTTTCGGCAGCACCCGTGGTTGGCTTAGCTGATGAGCATCTTGATACACCCACATGCCGCGAGTCAGCCTGACGGACTCAGTCTAATGATTCGGTGTTGTACTCGTACTGGCAGACCTTGAAGCATGAATTTCTGAGAACCTCGACTCGTCATTGTGTCAACAAGTTCAGCCAATAGTTTCAGTATTTGCGTTGGGTTTTAGTGTTGCAGCCTTGCACAGCTCTTTGTGCATGGGGCACAATGCTCGTGTGGCATGTAGTCTGCCCCTGCAATGGGGCTGCGATACTGTGGCTTAGCTTCAAACTTCCTGCCCATATTATTATAATTGTTATTATTAGTTTATTATTATTATTAGTTTATTATGATTATTATGATTACTATTGTTATTATTATTTATTATTTATTATTTCTTATTTATTGTCATCATTATTATAACCCTGCCCTTGTGAAGCTTGGGCAGTCCATAGGTTCTCAATTCTAACAGCCTCGCAGTGAAGCATGAAGCGACAGATATGACTTGCAGATGGAGCCGCCGCCACCTGGATCCGAATTGGCACCTTCGTTGTGTCTACCCGGGCGCACACTGAATGAAGCTTGGCAACATAGCTTAGGGATTTGGATGATTTGGATGTGCGTGTGCAGCCACGCGATCGTCTTTGCTTCTGGCCCGAGCCCGACAGGTCGCGGCACCGAGCTCGTTGGCCAGGATGTGTGGACCGTCGCGCGTGAGGTTGATAAGGCACAAGTTGCAACAATGTCTTCGGTCACTGTGCTGTGAGGCCAACCGGGGGTCAGAAGATGAGCTCTAAGTTTCGCTGCGAGGCCTTGCAGCAGACACACGTTCCTCGCGAGTTTGGCCTTGAGCAACCTGACTTTGGTTCGATGACAGAGCCAGTCACAGAGTTTCTCCCTGCTGGGGTCGACCAGGTGTTTGATCATGAGGACCGTTTAGTTCATGTCTACCTGTGGGCAGTAGCTCGGAGCGATGAGAAGTGTTTACAGCTAAACATGTTGAACAAGAGTTCTTGCGATGGAAAGCAGGAAGCAGGGCAAGCAACACAAGCACACAAGCCTCTAATGACTCCAATATCGTCCGCGCGTTTGTTCCTGCCGGCTTCATTTGGCCGCGCTCGATGCGATTGACAGCACCAGGGGGGCGAGGGGAACACACAACGAACAGAACATCCAGAACATCAGCGCATGAGAGTTTCTTTGGTCTGTTAAGGGCTTGTCCGTGTTGCTGGCACTGAGGCCTTCTCTTGTGGCTGAACTGGATAGTCAGAGCTTTGCTGAGGCTGTCCAACGCATTCTTTGCTCTGGAGCGCTCGGGGGCCCTCCCAGGAGCTGTCGAGGCCCCTAAGCATCGACGTCGTTCAGTTTGCGGAGTCCGCTTCTTCTTGTTTTTGTGTTCAAACAAACTGATCACGCCTTAAGCACAGTGAAGTGTACCTTTCGATGGGGTGTTCAGCTTTCTAGTTGTTAGTGTGGAAGCATCGAAGACCTGAGTTGAGGATTGCGCGCTTGGAGTGGCGGTTCTCATTCTGAATGCCCTACCTCAAGCAGAAATCCGCTTTGGCACCGCGCTGCTTCGTCCTGTCTGGTGTGAGTGTTGGGCCTGCTGGGCAGCCTACGGTTTAGCTCTTGGCCGGTCAGCTGTGTTATGTGGGTCTGAGAATTCGTGAAAGAGGTACTGGTTGGCTCATCCGTGAAAGAGGTTCTAGTTGGGTCTCAACTTCTAAACCTCGCTCTGCACAAGATGGGCTTCAGTGGCCCTAGTGCCTGAGATCCTCCAAGAAAATCGACCATCAGCCGACTTACTTACTTTCAACTCATGATCTGATCTACGCTGTTCCTGAGGAAAGCCAAAGAGTATTTCTTGCTTTTCGAGGGCTTGAGGCAAAAGTATGGCCATCTTTGGAGCGTTGCTGGATTCGCCTGGAACTTGCGGACACATCAGTCAGACGCTTTGGCAAGTTCTGGGAAGGTAAAGAGAATCTTCAACGAGCGGTTGGTAAGGTGTAACCCTAAACCCTAAAGCCTAAACCCTATACCCTAAATTGATGACCACGAAGGATAGCTACCCACTTTTGCTGGGCTTGAAGCCGCAGGGTTGCTATGACTCGGGCGTGAAAGTCTACGTCTATGACACGATCTTTGCGTCCCGACCGCTGGAATGCAGCCAGGGCATGTTTGCCAGTGAGGTGTTCGATGCTTGGACTTCCTTGAGCCTGACTTTCTCTGTTTTGGCCCTCATGCACCAACTGAAGCAGAATCACCAGCAGACATTGATACGGAACAAGAAAGACTAACGATGACTAACGGAAGGGTTGCCATGTTCAGAATGACGCTGGCGCCCATTTTTCAGGAGGCCGCTTGGAGATTGCAACTTCCTGCCGAGGTCCACCAATACCTCCTGCACAGTAGCTGCCGCACGGAGAACCCAGCTGAAGCAGATTTCTTCTTTGTGCCCGTCTACGCAGCCTGCGTGATGACAAAGGACAGAAAGACAGCCGAAGAGACTTGGAGAAGTGAGCTAGACCAATACTCAGCAACTCGTACTTGCTCCCCGAAATGCACGAAGCCGGGTCGCCTAGCCTCGCAGAAGACCCTGGCGCCATGAGGCTGTCATGCTCGGATGCAGTGACTTGCCCAGGACATGGACATCTTCTATAGTCACCTGGTGAAGGAGCAGTTGACGTACTTCGAGGATCGAGTGACAGATTGGCCGGGGGTCAGCTTCAGGCTTTCGCTGCACTGTGTTAAACTTGAAGACAGGATAGCTAGATGTAACTAGTAATTCTTAAAAGAAGTATATAGAAAGAGCAAACATGCATAATATAAGGTATGAGTCGGCAGCCGACGAGTGCTGATGTCCCTGGGAAACTCTGAGACTCACCCCGTGCCAACATGTCCGATATGTTAAGGGTCTGTCTCTGCAGCGATAAGGGATTTATCCCTGCAAATGGTGCCAGGACCAGGGCGGCATCGACCACATCTTTCTCTGGTCCTCGGAAACCTACGATTTCCCTTCGCCTAGCGGCTGCAGTTAGGGCCAGGGCCGCGTTTGTCAACGAAGCCATCCTGCCATCCGCGTGGGCGTGCGCTTTTTTCCGTGGTTGCTGATGATGACTTCCGACATGCGCCGGCGACTCCCATGAAGTCGGACACCCGAGGTGGCAGGACTACATCCCAGACTCCCTCTTTCTTTCCGTTGAAGCCAGGCCACTTCATGCCTCGCTGATGTCCGCCTGATGTGCGCCTAGCATACCCACGTGTGTGCAGGCCAATTGAGTGCACGGACTTCGATTTCTTTTCCGAAGAGACGGCGGACAACTTTGGAGCACACTGTAAGCATTGCTACTGGTGTTTCTCGGCTCTGCGTTTACCGGGGGTATGCTCTTTTTTTGCTCCGGCTTCTTGAACCATGTCTCTTTGAGGCTTCACACCCTGGAAAGACTACGTCATTCCGGGCTTCGTGGAGAAGTGGAGTGTGGACAAACTCCGTGCGCTGGAGAAGCCCCATGAGCAGCGGTCCTACACGGCGTGCTACCATGGTGCCGACTCTGATGCTCTGGCCATCTACAAGTATGCAAACACCACGGCAACTCGGCAGCGCAGCATTCAGAGGGTTGCCAGGGAGCCTCCAGATGGCTGTCAGCTACGACTGAAACCAGCAGTGTGGCGGTAGAGTAGTTGCTGGATTTCTGCCAGCCAGTGACGTTTTTCTTCTTCCTGCCAAAGGTGTGCCGCGAGGGTTTGGTTTGTGTTTTTGCAATTCTCGAGGGTTAAGGATTCTGGAGCAATCCCGCAATCACCAGTTGAAACAAAGGAAGAAAGACGAAGGTAACGGCTCTCTCGCTCTCTCGCTCTCTCGCTCTCTCGCTCTCTCGCTCTCTCGCTCTCTCGCTCTCTCTCTCTCTCTCTGTCTCTCGCTTGCTCGCCCTCCGCCTCCCCTCCCACCTCACCTCCTCTTGAGCTGGGATAAACCAAACGCAAGAAGGGTCCTCTTCACAGCCTTCATGTTCGCGCACACACGTGCAAGGGTATTGAACTTGCAAAGCGATCTGGTTTCCTGGTTTCTTCCTTGTCTTCAGTGCATTCCGTGGCTGAGCAGACCAGGTACGGAACGACCTGCAGACGCTTCGCGGGCGACCAGGCTTCAGCATCGGCTACCGGTTTGTTCGCATCACCGTGCTGTGGCGGCACTGTAGCGATGCAATCCACATGACGAGTTGGGTTTTCCTGGTGCAACAACTTCCGCAGATTCATGTTTTAGTTGTAAAATTATTCATATCATATTAATTGCATTATTGCATGACTATTTTCATGATTCGTATATTGTCTTCCTATATCCTTACGTTGTTATAGTATTATATTCTTATATCAGTGTTTTTGTTGTATTCCTGTATGAACATATTTGTCTGTTGTTACCATTGTACTTATTCTATCATTGTTTTTTTTTTACTAGTATGTTAATCAGTATATATAGAGAGAGATTGTTGCATCCTTAGATGATTGCATTATTCCGTTATTAGATTAGTAAGTTCAGATCCTTATACATGCGTGAGCGGGTTGTGTCGATTTGTTCGTGTTCGACCACGGAGCGCAGAGATTTTGTAGAGACTTTGGCCCAGGAGTACTTCGATCGTATCGGCGATTGCCACTTCTGCTTTGCGCCGAAAGGCTTGGGATTTTGGAGCAATCGCCTCTATGAGGCCCGCCGGAGGAGCATGAGACTGCTAAATGCTGGCGGGACTGCAAAGATGTGGTCAAGGTAGTTGTGGGTGTGAACGGGTGTGAGGTCATGTTTGCCGGCTGCATACCCGTCCGTGCCCCAGTCGGGTAGTGTCGTTGTCCAATGGAGGCGGCGGCGACAGGACTTGTCAAGCCCTCGTTGGCAGATCTCGCAGACAAAGAAGTTGCGTTCTCTCTGAAGCGTCCACCACCCACAAAGCTCATGCAATGAGACCTTCCTTGGCTTAAGTTGCGGATATACAGGCTGCACTGAAACCAGTGCCTTGTGGAGGGCAGCCGGCCACGATCCAGAAGTGGTCATTTAGCCACCTCAGAACCGATAATCCTTGAGGTCATCCTCTCCGACCACATCGGCCTTCCTTTCGATGACTTCCTCGACTGGCTGCTCGGCTTTGGGTCACATAGGTGGAGTGCAGGCTGAGACTCGATGATTAGAAGTAGCCTTACATTCTTGCGTCTTGGATGCTGCTTCGGACTTGCACGCTGATGGTTTGTGGACTTTAGTGCTAGTGCTGGTGTTGCAAGGCTTGAGACTTCCGGTCCCAAAGACTTTGCAGACTGCATGGAAGCAGGTCCTCCTTCTCATTGAAGTGGCCGATGGATGAGGCACGCGAGCCTGTCTGCCCCGAATGTCAACATCAGTCGACACCCCCAAGCCCAGCTCCACGTTGCGGGGTGTTTGTTTAACGGGGGTTTGTGACTAGAGGTTTGCCAGTCTCGCTTGGATTTCAGGCCAATAGTGCTCTCGCAAAAGAGGTGTCATTTGGCTCTCAGAAACCTGAGGGAGTGAGGTGCCCTCTAGAATCCCTTAAAGGGTAGAATCTAGGGCCCCTGTTAGGAATCCCTTAAAGGGTATAACATAGGGCCCCCGTTATGTTCCCTCCTTCCCTACTACAAAGAGATCGCACCGAAGAGGTGGGCCCTGCCCTGGCGGAGCACCTCGAGGGCCTCTTGGAGTTCCAGCGTCCTGCGGTGGAAGCCATGCACCGGGCAGTGCTGCGCAACAGGCGCAACACACAAGACAGGGAGCAAGCAGAGGAATGACATTGAGCAATTTCAATAAGTGAATAAGCAAATGCATAAATTTATTAAATATCTGCATATATATATATATACACATTGTGTAAAAGTCGGGAAGCAGAAGCCTGAAGCCTCTAAGAAGGTGTACTCGGCCTGGCGTGCAGGTGCTGGTTTGACTACAACTCAGAGGATCCGGACTGCTCTTCGCCGAACATAGGGGCCTTAATAATTAGAATAGGGGTTTTGGGAGTTTTTATAGTATACTTAGAAAGGGACCATAAGGGAATACTATTTTTTAACCTTCTTCTAGCCCTTCGCAAGACTTCGCGTGCTTGCGAGTCGCGTCAACGTGGCAGCTCAGGCTCTCCGTACTTGGGCATTCTGCGCTACCTGCGGAAGAAGAAGGAGGCAATGCCCCGTTCTCAAGGACCGGCTCTGCCCCGAGTTGTGCCAGAAATGTACTGATGATTAAACTTTAAGATGTTGCTGGTGTACCGTGCCTTTGCTGCTGCGGCTGCTGGGCTACTGCTACTGCTTCCACCACCGCAGCGGCTACCACCATTGCTGCCACAGCTCTTTTGTTGCGACCTCTGCTTCCTTTTGGTGATTCCTTCCACGTCCGCTGCGGGATATCTTGGGCTATGACCTTTTGTCTTGCTGCTTGTAGCTGCCAAGGCAGTCTAGTGGAGGCAGCTGTCATTTCCGACAGAGCAGCATCACCCAGTTTTGCCTTGGACTTTGAGTCAACCCCTGGGGAGGAAGGACATGGGACATTGTCACACCTCCCATACGCGGAACTCCACGTGCAGTTGCAGAGCGAGAGGGCGGATGAAGCGAAAAGCGAGATGAGATGGACGTTGGATCTGGAATTAGGAAGGGAGAGCGAGTAGGGGTACAGTTACATGCCATGTGATTGGAACATATCTGCTTTCGTGTATGCAGGTACACGTGGGTATGTGCAAGGGTTGACGACATGCAATCTCTGCATGCCTGCATTGGACCGATGCATGCTGGTGAAGTCCCACTTGCGAAGATCCCGTTGCCATCTTGCGCCGGTGAAGCGTTGGGCTCAAAGACGAGTCCACAAAGACCACTGTGGCAGGGCGTCCGGCTGTCATGGAGGCCTTGCTGGGACATGTAGACTAGATGCCTGGAGCCGGCTTCACAAGTCCGAGCTTCACAGCAGTTGAAGTTGCATCTGTGTAGGTAGCAGGTACAGTTTCCCTGCTTTGGCGGAGTTGTGTTTTTTTGGCGACAGAACTGTTGATGTAACACGGTGCGTGGCCGGCAAATTCATCCAAACTGGCAGGTGAGTGTCTTACAGGCCAGTGGGCTGCCGCAGGACTGCTACATGTTCCGCAAGTGCCCCAGATGATCCCCAAGTTCCCGCCGCGCCGCTCTGACGAGACATTGATAGGCATTTTGCATGGATGCATAGTCACGAATGGTGGATTGGCACCACCATAGTCCATGCACCTTACCCCCACAGGGCTCGTACACCAGTCATGCAGTGTCGACTTACTGTCCGTACGGGTTCGCTCCACAGCCTTCGGCGGCACACGAATAGCTTGCGATGCCAAGTTTCCACCTGGCACCTCCGAAAAGATCAGAAGCAGATCATAAAATCAGATCATAAGCAGATCATAAAAGCAGATCTTAAAAGCAGATCATAAAAGCAGATCATAAGCAGATCATAAGCAGTACCGGGTCCTTCATGTGTGGGACCCCCCCAACCCCAAACCCTCATCCCGGGTAGCTTTGAAGGATGCGGTCATTGCCTTCAAGGCCTTGGAGTGGTTCTGTGGAGCTTTCATAATAGGGTTTAGGGTTTAGGGTTTAGGGTTTAGGGTTTAGGGTTTAGGGTTTAGGGTTTAGGGTGCTGTTTAAGTGTGTGGGGCACGGTAGGGGGCCTTGAAGTCTGGCTTGGGGGATCCTGTGGAGCTGTGCATCTCTTGTGGGGAGGCCGACTGGAAGTCGGTGTTCTCGAGCACCTGAGGCTCCTGCAGAATTTTTTTGAGCTCTTGGCAGGTCGGCTGTGAGAGGAAACACAACAAGATGGAGGTGGGACGGCCGAGGCCTACCAGTTGTACATGCTCTTCTAATCGCACCAGCTCTGGAGCAACAGTTGCTGCTGTGATGGCCGTCGTCTGCTGTTCGAGTCTGGGGCGTGGAAAAGGCAGATGCTGATGACGCCCTCGGGACCGACCACCTGTGCCGTCACAGCCCCAGGCTTCATGGTCTAAGGACCTCGGCCAGCCGTGCCTGGCTTCGGCGTTTCGTGTTCTGTTGTGTAGGCTTTTGCCCTGCTGAGGTGAGCGTCCTCAAGAGCATGGGCAGCAGCGAAATCTCTGTACCCAAGGACGGAAAGGGTGAGGCTGGGAGCAGGGGAAGCCTTTGTTGCAGCCTCTGTGCAAAGTAAGGCAAAGTAGAGAGGTTGCCGTGTTTCGCGCAGGCGGAGATCTTGAAGCTGCCAGTGGTTAAGCCCGACGGCACAAAGACAGAGCTGACAATCAAGCCCCCCTGGCCATGTCTCTGCATCTTCTGTGTGCGTTGTGTCGACTGAAGTGCCATTGCATCTGCTCTTCTGGGGAGTTTGTTCAACAGGAGGGCTCTAGTTGCAGGCTCACCCGCCCTTTTTAGCAAAGATATGAAGCAGGATTTATAATACTGTTCCTGGTGAGTGTATATACGGTTCCTTTTAATATTGGTGAGTGTATATATTTGGTGTTTTTTGGGGGTACAAGAAGTATTCATATGCAAAATGCACGCTTCTTGACTTGCAGTTTTTGAGTTTACCGTACTGGGTTTCTGGGGCCCACTTGTATGGATCCAAGAGGCAGCTGAACCGGCTCGGGTTTAGGGTTTAGGGTTTAGGGTTTAGGGTTTAGGGTTTAGGGACTGGCCCTGGCCAGGGCAAGTCCTTTGCCGACAAAGTCTACTTCTGGAGCCGATGAGAATGCCAAGAAGCTCCAGGAGAGTGCGAAGTCAGGGGTGAACTTTGCAAAATGTGGGGGGGGGGCCGGGGTGGGTGGTTTCGATGCAGGACCAAGCACGGGACAACGTCCAGGCATGAGATGGCAGCTGTCAAGCCGTCGGTGCACCAGCTCAGCACATGTCGGACCTTGCCTCACTGACCCAGCAGGCGCTCCTGGGCGAATTGTTGAGGGAGCAACCAGCCGCTTGGAGTCAGATGTTGCCCCCGGAAGCTTCGTTCATCTCGCCAGACCCAAACGCAGAACACGTCAGATGTTCCAAGGCTTCACCCCGAATGAAGGGGTTGCAACATGTCGACCCCGCAGAATTCCAGTGCCCTATGCCGGCACCCCAGGCGGACCCCTACACCTTCATGCTGCAGCGCCTCCGCGCTGTCAAGGACCTCCTTGCACCGTGGACCTAAATCCAAAGACTTGGCGCTCATGAAGTGGGATGAAGTGGGTAGGTGAGCTCGAAGTGTCAAACCAGGGTTGAGGAGATCACAGGCCACAGTTCTTTCGCACTTTGGTCTACAGGTTTTGCACGATAACCCTGATTATGAGAGATGCTGCTGACATCTGCTGATGATCAGAGTCTCGTTCTGCAAGAAAACTCGCGAGGAAGGCGCAAGCTTCGTCGCAGAGAATGAACCTTGCCTGCTGAAGGTCATTGATTTGGGCTGTTCCCCCTTGTACTAACAGTCCTTAGTAGGGATTATAGTACCCCCTGCTATAATCGCTTGTAAGGACTGTTAGTAGCAAAAGGGGAACAGCCCAAGTCATTGAGGTAGAGTGGGCCCGTAGTGGGCGATCCGTGCGTCAGCGGTTTTAGTTTGTGTCCTCCATGGTATGTGGCCCTGATGCTGAGGATACGATGATGCTAAGAGCTTCAGACGGTGCCGGATCCACCGCAGCTTGCTGCAGCACGAAGTGGCTGTTATCGGCAGGGCTGCGGAGGCTGTATGGCCTCAGAGCAAGCTAGAGCGCTTCGAACACGCTATTGGACAACAGCATTCAACCTGCTTAGTGCCTACTGCATGCAGGGCCATGGCCATGGCTGAGGTAACAAGCTTTGTGCGAGATGAGCTGATGAGTCACATGAAGTAGTTGCTGGTATCAGAGGAGAGCTTCTATGCCGAATGAAGGCGACCGAAAGGCATTTATTCGGAATTTTATTCCTCCAAGCATGCACGTTTTTCAGTCTCGGCCAGGGTTGCCTCCATGCGGCAAAGATTGATATACATGTCTATCTAACGCCTTCAGGATTTCTCCGCTCTAAAAGGGCTCCTGGAGAAAGTTCACGAGAACCCTGTCATGAGGAGGTGGGCCAGGTGGGTGTCAACATCGCCCCATGCCACTGACAGCACATCCCAGTTTCACCCTGGGGCCGCAGCACCCTTAGCCCTCGAAGCTGTTTAGGGTTTAGGGTTTAGAGTTTAGGGCTTAGGGTTAGTAGTCAGCTTCATCAAAGCACATCAGCACCCTTTGCGCCCTCAAGGGCGCGTACGGTAAGCTTTGCCGATCCAAGCGAGGGGCCTGCGAGGTCTCAAGAGGCCAGATGAGAGACAAGCTTTGATGGGAGGGCCCAGCAGTCCGGTGTGTTTGTTTAGCTAGTGTGGTGATCATGTTGTGCTTGTGCGTTTCTGTTCGCCATGCGATCTGAAAGTTTAGAGACTGTGCGAAGCAGGGCTACTTCCATTTCCAGAATTGAGCTCTACTTCAGAGCTTACTCTTCGGAGAACGCGGGTTACTTCAAGTAAGGTCGCACAACGCAGCCCGAAATGGGGCTACAACCCAGATGACTGCGAAGAAGTGTATGCAACTGCATGAAAACGCTCACGCGATGCTTGCGATGCTTCGGCCGTTACATGGCAAACATGAGGTGCAGACTCGCATGTGCTTGTTTTCCATCAATGGCGTCGACAGTTGTCGTGGACCGGCCTTGCAACAGAGCATTGCCAGGCTTTTCATCCATGTAGGTTCTGTTGGTGAGCATATGCTAGAATCCCGGAATTGCCGCCTTTGTAGTCTTCCGACGCTTATGGTATGCGACCCGGCTGGGGCATACTACTAGGCAGGCGCGGGAGAGGGTGTAGATAGCCATTCCATTCGGCGAGCGAGTGCACGTATCAGTGGGTAGAGTTGCCCGACTTTGACATGGTGGCCGCTTATGCAGTTTTGACCATCGCCATGTCGGTTTAGAGCTTGGAGGCTTGAGGGCTTGAAAGCCTGGAGGCTTGTGAATCTGTAGATAAGTCCGAAGCTTGATATGCCGAAACGCCTGAGGCGCCATGGAGAGGAGCCGCGAAGCAAGCGCAGGCTTTGCGTTCCGGAACCACTCGGCATGCTGGAAGTCGCGGACCTGCCCTGTGTGCTCCAGCCACAAACTACGGAGGGGGAGCCTCCACAGGAGGACCCTCTGCCTACAGACGCCCACGAAGCGCCAGAGCATTCGGCCGAGCCAGCTGAGGCAGCTGAGGCAGCTGAGGCAAAGCCAGCTGAGGAGCTGGAGGCGAAGGATTTGGAACAGGCAGATGAGGAGGCGACTCTGAATGGAATCGGAGACTTGGCCACCCTTCGGCGCTTCTTGCGGCTCTGGCAAGCCCGCGAAGCCTGGAACCGAAGGTTGGTTCAGGAACTGCTCAGCTGGAGCGTGGGGCAGCCGGCATCGCAGCTTCCCGTGCATGAGGAGGATTTCAGCGCAAGCCTCGGCACACCTGCCTGGGCTCGACCTTCAGGGGCGCTTTACCGCGCAGCCGCTGCAACATGCTCATCGTCCCATATCTTTGCTAGACCGAGCTCCAAGAACAAGAACAGGGATCAAGACAAGCCATCCACGTGCGAGATGTCGGAGGAATCCTCCGAGTCTGAGGAGCGGACGATGTATCGGCCAGGTGATTGGCCGGAAGAGACGCGGCAATTCCAGATCTTGCAAGGCCTGTGGCCGAAATATCTCCGTTTCCGAGAGAGAGGACAAAAAGGCCTTGAAGAACAACCTCTGGTGGACTGGCGCAACCCGACCAGCCCTCACGCCGTGGAACGAGAGCTCAGCATACGCTTGCTGCTCGCACAGGTCGGGCATGACTTCGAGACATCGGACTGGTACGGCCTTGTTTGCCGCCTCCTCCTCTTCCTCCACAACAATGTCGAGCTTTTTGTTCAGGTGCAGCTGCCCTTTGCGAAGCGGCAGTTCATGGGCTTGCCGCCCTCGGACTTGTGGCACGAGACCAGCCGGTTTCTACGAGCGAGATCAAAGGTGTTTAAAGAGAACGCTGAGGTGGAAGAGGTGCAAGCCTGGGTTCAGGCCCTGCGTAAGTCCACCGTATCCCTAGTACATGCAGCACCGAAGATTTGGCAGCACATCTTCGTCTCGGAGGAATCTTCGAAGCGAACGCGTTTGCAGGAAGAAGTAAAGCGTGCACTGACATCGCAAGGACTTGAGCACTACGACTCAGTCTTGACAGGCCTCCTCTGCGCCTATGGAGACAGGTTGGGCCATGCCATGCCAAAGCGCGAAGACTTGCTCACGCCCCTCGCCGCAAAGGAGCGGCGGATGATTTGCAGGATGTTGGGGATCTCCTCGCGAGCCCAGCAAGATGACCTGGTCCTTCTCCGAATGCTTCAGAAGAGGTTGCAAGCACCCGTGCCGAGCGCCGACGACTGCGAGCTGCTGCGCCAGGACGAAGTGCCCGAAGTGGCGACTCTCCGTGTGCTGTTTCTGGAATACTTGCAGTGGGAGGCCTTTACGCCTGCCCAACAAGCCGAACTCACGGATGATGACTTTCTCCAGTGGCTCTGCCCCAAACTTAATTACCGTTCCGAGCGGTACCAGGATGCTTGCCGCAAACTCCTCCAAGAGGGCCGACAGCTGGCAGACGAGCCGCACCGAGTTTTTGAGCGCAGGGAGCTGGTGGCACTGAAGCGGTATCTGCTGGAGATGGAGCTCCCGGCTGAGCTCGATGTTTCGGAGTACGTTTATGCCGATGGGGAACAGGATCCCGAACACCGAATCGTCCTTCCGAGCTTTTCCTGGGATGCGCAGGAGGATGCGCAAGGGGAGGCTCCCCCGTTTAATCTGGAAAGCAGCCTAGACCCCTCAAGCCGCTGAAGCACCAGAGGCGAAAGCCTGCCTCTAGGTGCCAATGAACGTGAGCAATGCTGGATCCATCGACAAGAAGTATATCGCCTTCGATGTTGCTACGGGGACGCGCGAACCCTGGATGAGGAGATGCCCCCTGACCACATGGCATCGCCCTGCGGAAAAGATGTGATGTGTGTATGTGTGTGTGGGTGTGTGTGAACGGAATCTGGAAGGGACGAATGACGGGTCCTTGACTTCAACCAGCGTCTAGCGTCTCAGAGCGTAAGTTGCGAACCAGCACGCTCTCCCCCAGGGGTGAGCAAACAAGTATGCTAATAATGTCAATCATCCCACTCCCTTTCTGGCCCATCGCAGATGCCAAACCAGGGCCACGAACACCTTCACCTACTGCGCGCTTCATCGGAAGAAGTCAGTCAGTAGAGAGCGGAGGCGTGCAATTTGCAACTTCCTCAGCAGGAGTCTTTCTTGCTTGGCGCCGTCTCGACCCTGCCGGCTTCTGTGGACGTCGTGAGACTTGGCAGAAGAAACTTTGGGCCTCGGCCACAGTCTCATAGTGCCCCTTTCAAGTGTGCCTGCCTATACCGTAGCCTTTATCCCTCAGGTATGTAGCAATAAGATCTGAAGCCCCACGTACGTCGGGCAAGGTCACAAGAAATCCAAGCCTCAGCCACTAAGTCAAGGATGGTCTGCGTGCAGCCGCGCTGCTCACCCTGCCGCCGGAGGTTGCCAGGGGCATCTCCAGTGGGAAGCCGCAGGTGGGGAGTTCAATGCTTTGGTGGAGTTCTGGCGCAGAGCGACCCCTGCGCAGGTATTCAAGTACGGCCGGCAGGCAGAGCAGGTGGCGGAGCTGTGGTTACCATCAGGAAAGCCCAAAGGAGTCGTCGTGCTGATTCATGGCGGCTTTTGGCTGGCGCAGTATGGCCACTCATCTGGGTTAAATTCAGTGTCAAGATGTTTCAGGCCCGGCATTCTCTGCTCACAGTGAGTCTTACAGGCAAAGACCTGATGACGGACCTGGCGCGTGATGTGGTCCAAAGAGACTATGCCGCGCTCAACCTTGAGTACCGACGCGTGGGGAGCCCGACGTGGAAGGTGAGCCTGAGGCCAAGCCAACAGTGCATCTTCGAGGGGGCGTTGTAGGGCGAAGTTGACAGGATGCCAACTCCACACTGAGCGACGTCTCCGCGGGACTCGGGCTGCTGGAATCGGGGAGGCTTCTTCTGAAGGGACTGACGAAAAGAGTTGAAGTATGGCATCGTAGAGATCCCTAAAGATCTGTCGGAGCTTCAGCGCGCTGACAGGCTGCCACTGGACGGTGCTCTGCCATTCGCGGTGGTGGGCCATTCTGCAGGTGCAGACTGCAGACTCTATTGACTTCATGACCGTGTGTCGGCTTCCGCCATGAGCTCGGGCATGAGTTCACGCATTTAAGATCATTTAAGAAGCCTGCAGGCGGCCACTTGGCGTTGTGGTCGCAGCTGCAAGCTGCAAACTCCTCACCCGCCGCGGCCGTCGTGTCAACTGGTGGTGTGTTGGACCTGTGCTACGCAGACAGCGAGGAGCTGGGAGGCACCCCACTCGTGTGGCAATGCTTGGCATGTCTTCGCAGCCTTATTGTAGCAGCCGTAGAAGCTAGCCGCAGCTAGCCGGCTCTGGGTCAACTGTCAGGGTTTAGGGTTTAGGGTGCGGAGCTGCAGTTTGTATAAAAGGTAGTATTGGAAGGGTTGCAAAAAAACCCGCCATTTATTTGGCTCAAGATGGCCCAGAGCCGGGGAGCCCGGCTGCGTAATTTACTATTCGGGAAGGCCCGGCTTTGTAATTTAGTATTCGGGGAAGGCCCGGCTTCGTAATTTAGTATTCGGGAGAAGCCCGGCTACGTAATCTAGTATTCAAGGGAGCCCCGGCTTCGTAATTTAGTATTCGGGGAGGCCTGGCAGGCCCGGCATCGTAATTTAGCATTCGGGGGAAGCCCGGCTTCGTAATTTAATATTCGGCCTGGCTTCGTAATTTAGTATTCGGAGGAGGCCCGGCTTCGAAATTTAGTATTCGGGGAAGCCGGGCTTCCCAGTTTAATATTCAAGGGAGACCTGGCTTCGTAATTTAGTTTTCGGGGGAGGCCTGGCTTCGTAATTTCGTATTCGGGGGAGGAGGGGATGGGAGGAGGGGATGGGAGGAGGGGATGGGAGGAGGGGATGGGAGGAGGGGAGAGGGAGGGGGGAGGGGGGGAGGGGAGAGGTTAAACTAAATTGAGCATTTGAGCCCTTTACATGCTTCGACTTAGGGTGGGAGAGGCGGATGGGAAGGGGGGGAGGTGGGGGAGGCAGTGGGGGGGGGGTGGGGGGGCGGGGAGAGCGGGGAGGCAGAGGGCGAGGACGGAAACACTCCCGGAAACCCTTCGCCGCCCCGGCGGGGTCGGCGGATATCATTCGCTACGGATCTCAGTTGCTTCTTGACTTAAAAATTTCAACTTCCTGAGCCGCTCAGCCCGTCTTAACCTTCCGATCATCATGAATCGGACAGGAGTACACCTGGGTTTCACAAAGAACTGGGGGGTCTGTATTGAGGATCCCGCCACTCAGGATCCATCCCCGTATTTTCTGAAACTTCCATCTCGCCTCGACCGTTCAAGACCGTGCTGCAAAAAAGGTGCTGCGGGTACGGGAGAAGTAGGCAATCGCTTCTGCAAGATTGATGAATATTTCCAGAAGATGAGCTTGCTGATGCTGTTTGACCTTTGTGAGCCTTGTTGCATCAAGGAAAAGAGCACACGATTTCTGGATCCACGCAATGAAGCAATCCCTGTGGCAGACGTGGGTTATCGCATGTGGCCTGATGCCCTGTGCTTTGACTTTCAAAGTGTCGCAAGGCGGCGATGCTGTTGCCGGCCAAGCAGCGAACAAAAGCATTCAGGCGTCGCCTTTGGTGACTCCCTCATGGCATCCGGACTGCATGGCCAGGCCCCCATCCATCGATGCAGTCAAGGTGGTGGATGACGCAAAGCTAAGTCTTGTGGTAGCGACATCCGGCGAGGTCACAACGCCGACACGTTTCGCGGGGCTTACCACGGCCACGCGTAATTCTTTCTACAACGAGCTGCGCGAGTCTCTGAAGATCTCTGATGTGATTCTCGTGTCTTACAAGGCTATGATTGAGCAAGCGACTATGGCATCGTGGATTGAGCATGAACTTTGGCAGGCAGCCGCTTTCAAACAGGTGCAGCTCAGGCTGTGCCGTGAGAACGCGGCGCCTGCAGATGTTGCTGGGTTCTGTTGAGGAGCTTCATCTAAGTTACGATAGTGTGGGTGTACAAATATATATATATATATATATATATATATACATATACATACATACATACACACATACATACATAATTACATACATACATACATACATACATACATACATACAATGTGTGTTATACAGTAAACAAAAGGCTGTTTGCTTATTGCAGTGGGTAGATTCAACTTTACAACTTGACAGCAACCCAGGCTGATTGCAAGACAGTCTTGGACCCCATGGCTGACAGCTTCTCGAAGCCGATCTTGGTAGATGCGTGCCAGCTCACATGGCAAGCCCATCACTCAGTTCTCATCGGTTCGCTCTCAAAAACCGCTTTCTTCGAACTTGAGAACACGCAGCACGAGAAGGACCTGATTGACCATGAGAGGAATATCCACAACGAGAAAGTAGCAAACGAGCTGAAAAAGTTCTGGGAAGACGAGAGAAGGAAACAATCAGAAAAGGACAGGAAGGCAGGCAACAGGTTCCCTACACAAGAGTCCAAAGACCTTTGGACCTACTCGCAGGATTGGGTAGACGGAACCTGGGCCAAGCACTACAGGGACAAACAGCTCACAGACGAGGAGAAGGCTTTTCCCGTCCACAGACACCTGCTGGCAACGCGGAGGGCTATGAAGGATAAGCTGTGGAAGCAGCTTTGGGAGGCCTTCAAAAACAAGCCAGAGGCGAAGAGATACACACACACGGTGCAAAGTTGGAAGTCCTTCGCAGACGTTTGTAAGCGCGCCTGGTCGAAGAAACCCTCTATGCGGCACCAGGGGATGGTCTTGTCCGGCATGCTGGATGCATCGAGGGCTGAGAAGATGTGTGAGTCTCTGACGATCTGCAGCGGCTACAGCTGCAAAGATGGTGGCTGTGAGCTCTTCACCGGCTCCAATTTCTCGAGTGACGAGGGCTATGACACGCATGTGAAGGATCTGGACACTCGACAGCATGGCAGGTCAGACGAAGAGGCAGCGTACATTGTGACGCTGTGCCCTTGGTTCATGGACTGGCATTTGCAGGAGCAGGGTGGCATCTACCATCCAAGTCACAAACTCACTTTCCCTGGGTCCTGCAATATCACCCGAGAGTATGAAATCGCCCAGTGTGGTGAACAGCAGGGCAGGGTCCAGGCCAGTTGCCATACATTCGGCGTCTGGCTGCAGTCTGCTCAGACTCACATTGCCAGGATGAAGGGAGAGATGGCAATGAAGGCAAAGGATGCAAAGCTGCAGGATGCAGACCAGAAGAAACGTGCAAGTTTGAGGCTTGCAGAGGACATGGCTGAAGCAAAAGTCGAGCTTGCACAGAAGGCTGCGGAAGCAAGAAACCCTCCCTTTTCCGTATGGGGCATCATCGAAACTGTGGCTTCTATCACCGGTCCATTCGGCAAGTTTCTCGGCGTCGTCTTCGGAAATGGCAAGATAGATGCGATTGCAGAAGGCATCGAAGCTGTGTCAGAGGTGGTGGGATCCACTGCCGGTGGCGTCGAGTTCTTTTCCGAAGGCGGAGGTGGTGATGGAGAGTTCGAAGATGAACAGCATGCACAGGAGCATTTCGAAGCCGTCAGCGAAATGATTACTGCGTCTGAGAAAGCGCGCATGCAAGAACGGACCGAAAAACTCCATGCTGAGCTCGACTTCCTGAAGGAGACTGTGGGGGCAGTGGGTTCTGAGATTGGAGCAGCTCAAAGTGGAGCAGACGCCCTGTGGGGGGTTCTGAAATAGAAGTCATAGTCACATAGTCCTAGCTGGAAGCATCCCAGCGGTGTGCTATCTCTGACATTCTCTGACAACACAAACTGCCATGAAAGTCGAAAATCGTAGTCCTCACGCCTTGAACGAAGAGTAGGTTGAATACCCACGAATCGTCCAGTTCCAGTTCCCAACTTTTCGAGTTTTACTTTTGTTTGAATTCGTGTGCCACTGCCACGAAATGCCGCTTGATAAAGACTTACACCCTCGCAAGCCTAGGCTCTTTCTAAGCCGCATTCCGAAGCGTGATGTGTGTCTGCAAACCCTGCAGGTGCGACTTCTTCGATTTCTCCATTTGCAATTTGCTGGAGCTGATCGGCAGGCGTGCCGCCGATCAGGCCGCCTTCTTGGCTGCCTTGTCGGACAATGAGCAGAAGCAGCGCTTCGATGAATTGAGAAGAGGCATGCAGAACGAGACAGACGCCATTCGAAAGGACATTCAGGGCATGCAACAAGCGATCGAGCAGCGCTTGGATCAAATGTCTGACATGGCGACACCTATCAAGAAGGCAATGTCAGACATGGGAGAGAGCTTGAAGGGCTCTGTTGCTGCAGTGGCCAGTCAAGTCAATCAGGCCGTGGGGAAGGTTTCTAGTGACGTGCTTAAGAGTCTGGAGGACTCACGCCGTCTGCTGGATTCCAAAGTTGGCAGCATTGAAGCAGCGATGAAAAGCATGGACAAGTCCACCACAGAGGCAATTGAGCGAACACAGGCCAAGCTCACTGCCGAAATCAAGGACGTCCAGGCCGCTGTTCTCGATGGGAACCAACGAGTCTTGGACGGCATGGAAGACAAGATGACGATGCTACGCCTTGAGATGGAGAGTTTCGAGTCGCGCCTCAGTGAAGACATGTCAGATGTGCAACGACATCAGGAGGTCTTGGGAGACCTGATTGTCGGAAACACAATGCGCTTGGATGAGTTACAATCCGCGGTGGATGGGTCTCTGGCTTTGGCAGAGGAGCATCAGCTTGAAAGCTTTCAAATGCGACTCTCTGAAATATTGGTGGACATGAGGTCTGCTCTTGTCACAGCTGTGGATCTCGAAGAGCAAGCCTCTGCGGCCAAGCTTGCCTATGGTAGGGCTGTGCAAGACTACTCCCAGTGCAAGGTCCCCTGGCAAGAGGTCCTCGAAAGGCAAAAGAGCATGAACAACTCACAAGTCCTCCAAGAGCCCCAGCAGTTCCTGCGTCTTCAGAAGCAGGCGGCTGCCTCCCTTGTGAAGGCAGCGCAGGTCTTGTCTGCCGGACGCGTGGTGCGCCGCTTGATTGAGAAGGCCATCCTGGAGATTCTGCCTTCCGGGCTGAAGCAAGATGACTTCACAGTTTGCCGTGACTTCTTCTCCCCACGTGGTCTTCAGATGATCGGCGAAGCAATCAAGTTCAGCGCCAGCAGGGAGTTGATGTCGGTGTCGAGGCAGCTTGAGTATTTACATAGTCTCTGGATCAGGACCAAGCAGATTTCAGCAAGGAACGGCGCGGCAGAAGGCCATGAAACCATGTTGCTCACGAAGGACCCGCATCTGCCGC